AAAAATGTGTTACGAATTTGTGCAAACCATTTTTCTGATTTTAGTTGTCCTAAAATTTTAACAGATGAGAAGTACTAGATTTAAAAAATGTTACCATCCTATCTTTATTTCCTGACAAAAGACTTGAACGAAGAACTCGAGATTTTATTATTCCTGAGAGATAGCCTGTACTTGTTAGGTGGCTTAATCTTTTAACAGAAATAAAGTGCTAAAATTATTCCGCCAACTAACAGATTGACCATAACAATCATTTTCCACAGTATTATAACAAAGAAAATGCCAAATAGAAAAGCCATTTGATTCATTTGCATTTGTAACTACTTGCTTTTTTTTTTTTTATCATTTGTATTGTACGTAAATAATAATATAAACGTGTGCGTCAATAATGAAATATTAATATGTTATTTATTATCATATATATGATTAAGAAAGTATCTCATACTTTGATTATGAGGTTTTAAATTTTACCAATGAAATTTAAAAGTTATCACATATACTATATTAAGATTTCTTCAAAATAATTATTAATTTAATATGATAAATAAAAAATACATCACATTATTTTAAACTTACATATGAATTTTAAAAACTCCATATGCAGAATAATAGTCTATATGATCACAAGTACTTTTAAATTAACTGGTTGCACAAATTATTGTTAACCTAGTAAAGTTTAATTCGAATTACTAAAGGAAAATGTTAGTCAATAGGAACATTTTTCTTAAAAAAAATAATTTGGCATAAAAATATTGCTTATCCATGATATATTCATTAAGTCCTTTAATTGGTTTCAGACTTGCAGCGTTCAAGTAATATAAAAACTAGTTTTTTTAAATTTAATAATAATAACAATAATAATAATAATAATAATAATAATAATACAGTTTTTTTTACTTTGGCAAAAGTTTTATACCCCTATGGTCACTTTTCTGCTATGAACTGTGGAGTAGTATCTATTTGGATTGGGCCGAAACTCATTCCATGTGTTATCTTGGGTCAATCTAAAAGTAACTTGGGTTCTGTTCAGGTTTCTTTCGTGTTTCATACAGCAGAAGCAAAGGGTGGATTGACTTGCAGTTGCTATGATTAATGTTTTGCCTGGGGAGGGGAGGGTTGCAATAAGCTGTGGAATTGGCTATGGCCATAAAAGTGTATGGCTTGAAGTCCCATATTTCCTTCTGCCGAAGGACCTTAGAATTGATGAACATTCTAATGTTCAAGGCCCGTAAATACGGCATTTATGCACATTCTCAGAGCCACAAACATATAAAAGCCACAATGGAACATGCCAAAACGATACAGAAGCCGTTATGAGTAGCCAGAGAATCCGGCAAGCATGCTCATCCATGTTGTTTTACCTTGTTTATCCAGCTGTAAGAACATCAAGAGAACTTCACCTTATACATGAAACAGTAACAATGATATATAACTGAAGAATAAAATTAACCCACCAAATAAGAAGTATTGATTGATGTTTCTGCTTAGGTGACAAAAGTCTACGATTTATCCAAAAAAACACAAAATCAATTTCTTACTAACAGAGGCTTACCTTTATTCATATATAGCGTTAGCACTTAGCAGCATAAGAAAGGAAATAATACTATACTTGAGTATTTTGAAATAGAATCCTGACACAAAAGCAGACTCCACTAATTTTCAAATGTAGGAGGAACATTCTTGGGAGATTTCCTAAAATAGCTTCTTGATTTGGGGAGAGGAATTGAATTTTCATATGGTGCCACTGGATTCACACTTGCAAGTCACCAGTTTCCCCGGCGGCCACTTTATTTTTCATAAGAGCTAATTGTGATCACATATTGTTGACTGAAACTTTGTCTCAAAGGAACTGAAATCCTTGAAACAAATATATATACTTCTGAACAACATTTCATTGCCATTCTTCTTTTGAACCTAGTTATAGAATTATCAGAACTGGTGATGGCAGAACTGGTGATGGCTGCTTTATTTCATACGCATTGACAAACCCACGAGGAAACTAGCAACTATCATGTATCAACCCCCCATCTCTTTCTTCTTCTATGTTTCATTTCATTCTGAGAGAGAAGTCATTGTTGTATCATAACCAACCAAGCATCTACAAGACCTAATTTCATTTTTATAAAGGAAGTTTTCTAGCTCCTGAAATCAAATGGATGGCACCTATGATTTTAATCTGATGAAATGCTGAGCCAGCCATATTGATTATGATAAATGGATATCAAAATGCAGGAAGAGCTGAAGAGGAATGCAGAACTGATGTTTACCATCCTACTATGTACTAATTTATTAGAATGACTTTACACATTTGTGATCCAAGTAAACTATTACCAAAATCACATGCCTTAAAAGAGAATAAATGAAGCTTAATGTGGAAGGATTTTCTTTTTCCTCCCCTCTTATTCCAGAACTCAACAGGTGCAGGAAGAGGAGAAAAAAAATTACCAATTATTGATAAGTGCTAACAATATACAACAAAAGGCCAAAAAAAAAAAAAATTCGATCCATAACCCTTGTGCATCTCACATTTACATTTACATAGGAGGGCAACAAGAATAAGTAGTTCTAAAATGAGAAGCATGCATAAATAAGGAAACAGAGAAAATATGCCAAAGGTTACAAGCCTAGCATATCCACAGGATTTTTCCCCAGAACGATGTGGATGCTTTATTAGATGTGGGAATGAACTAGAATCTTACAGTTCATTTTCCCCAAAACGAAACGTGCATCTCTCTGCCTTTAAAACACCAAAAAACACATGAAATATTATCCGCAAGTTTAAAGTTTAATCAATACTCACATAAGCTTTATTAAACACTTGTAGCTGTTGGTTGCAAACCTTAACCTCCATCTCTAGTGCACGGACTCTAAATTCAAGCAGAACAACAACACGTTGCTCAACCATTTGTTTTTGTCTACCACTCACAACTTCAGGCCGCCACACATTCAAAGCCACAGACGCTTGACTGAAACAGCCAAGACCCAGATTGAATTCAAAAATACAAAATCTATTCAACAAAAAAGTTCCAAGCATTCTCTGTGTCTCCGAGTTTCAACCCAAAATTAGTTTCATTCTTATCACAAAACAAAGTTACTCAGTTCGACAATCAACGGTACAACAAATTACTACTAATTTCCAATACTCTTACCTTACCTACTCAAATGACAATAACACTGATATATTCAGTTTGATTCGGTTGGATTTTTAAACTGAAAAATTAAAACTTTAAACAAAATTTAAAATTATATAAAAGAACTCAGATTAATTCATCTAATATTTCCACTTTAATCTTTTCTTTTGAGCAACAAAACAAAAGCTTATAAAAAATGAAAAAAAATCCCAAAAAAAAAAGGAATTATTACCTGACATTACGTAAATTAGCCAATTCCGAAACTGTAGACTTCAATTTCTGTCTTTCTTCATGTAACGACGAACCTCAATTTCCTGAAGTTTCCTTAAACGCTCCGTAACTTGACTCTCTTTCCTCAACACCGCCCTTCTATGAACCAATAACTTCCTCTCTTTTTCTCTCACAAACCTATCAAAAAACAAAATTTTCAAATTTTTTATAAAAATGTGACAAAATTCAATTTTCTTTAGAAATTACCTGATTTGTAAAGGTATAATGGGGGGATGATAGAGGTGATGAGATTTCATTGGGGAAAACAACGGAAAGCAAGTGTGACCAGAGTGAGTCCTCGTTGGATAAACAGTGGAGGCGTCTGCATCTGATTGAAACGCAACAAAGATCTTTGTTTGCAAAATTTGAGGCTGTGATTCCTATCTCTAGTATTTTTCTCCATAGCTCGTCCGCTAGTTCGTTATTTGAACTCATTTTTCTTTTCCTTTTTTTTTTTTTTTGTTCCTGATTGATTATTTAAACGTTAAGGATCCAGTTTTATTAAATGGTTGCTAGGGTCGGTTATAGCAGTTCATGGGTCGGTTCGCATCCAGATTCTTGTTTTTCTTTTTGGGTGCCCAAACCCGATTGTATTTTGATAAAATATTGTAACGTTTCGAGAAATTATCCTACCATTTATGAAAATTAAAAACTTTCACGTGTTAAGCTCGGAAAATAAATATAAACACAAAAAAAAAAAAAAATCAAAGAATCCTGGGAAAATAAATATTGCTAAAGTAAACTAATATTCACTTGTTTCAACTACGGTGGGAACCATTGATGCAATCATTCGGAGCAAAATGGTTGCCCTTATTATTCATCGTACATGCCTTCGACGACGACTGAATAAGTCACCGCCGGCATCATCCACTTTTGTCCTTCAACCCTAAAACCACAAAAAAAAAAAAAAAAACCAGCCAAAGGAAAATGAAACTCCAAACATATAATTATGGGGTTAATATTTTTGTTTTACATAAGCTTGTAAATGGTTTTAAAAGAGGTTGATGATGATGTTGGTATGGACGGTAGTTGATGGAAATCAGAGGAAAGCAAGAAGATCCATAGGAAGTCCTCATTGGATAATTGGTGGAGTCACTTGCAAGAGATTGAGATATATATTGCATACATCTTTGTATGTTAATTTTGAGCTTTTCGTACCTTCTTCAAGTATTTTTTGCCATGCATCGTTTGATATTTCATTAGCAGCCATTTTTTCCTTAAGCTCTTCTGTTTTTTAGTGAGCTTTATATATAATAAAAAAAATGGTGATCTAGGGTTGGATTTAATTTCAGAAAATTACTACATTCTTTTCATGACAAAATGTTGATTTGCAGTATTGCTTTTAAAGAACACATGATATAGATTAACAAGGTAGGAATTGTAGAATTGAATAAGAAAATTTTATTTGTTCCTGACATTTATGTATCACATAATAAGATAATAATTTATTAATTTGATTGTTTTATTTTATTTATAAATTAATTGATTTATTTACGAATTAATGAATTTTATTTTTTAATTTATTCTATAATTATGTCTCATATCCATAAATACAAATATTTAGAACAAAATTTATTTGATAATTACATCTCATGCCAATAATTCAACATATTTCTAAATTGTATTTAAGGGATTGAAGATTCTATGTACTTGTAATTTTCACTTTAAAAAACAAAATTATTTCTACATAAATTTTTTTTCATTTTCTAATATTCTTTGCTTGCTATTGAATCACATACCACCAAAACAAGCCCCAAAAGCCGAAGATCCTCAAGGAAAAGTGTTAAAAGCAAAAAGCCAAACTCTAACAAAGTCGCACCTCATTCAGTGATTGAAACCCCTTCAAAATGCCTTGACACCTCTTCAAAAAATTCCACCACCTGCTCGACGAAACTCCAAGGTCGAAATCCCCAATGGAGCCGAGCATCTTAGGATCATTCGGCCAAGAAATAATCGGCGTAATGTCCCCTGTCTCTCTTTGCATGCTCTTAGTAGTCCTTCTCGTTTACTCCCTTTCACCTTCCAATCCCTTTTCTTCTTCCTCTCCCGCTCCCGTCCGTACAGTTGCCAATCTCGTTTACACCGAAAACCCATCTGATACCGCTGCTCATAAGCTAGAGGGAGCTTTGCTCAATGCCTTGGTCTTCGTTATCCTCATGGCTATCGTTACGTTTGTTCTTGTGCTGCTTTATTATTATAACTTCACTAATTTTTTGAAGAATTACATGCGATTCTCGGCTTTTTTTGTACTCGGTAAGATGGTAATTTTTGGCTTAATTTTTTCTCTTTGGTAAAATGGGTTTTGGTTTATTTCTGAACGTTTGGTGTTAAAAGCGGTTTCTTTGACTTAATTAGCTGTTTAGCAATCTGGGTCTTGAGTTCTTTATGATAATTTTGCCTTAAAAGTTGTTCGTTTTCGTAAGTACTTATGTTTTAGTCATGTGGGCTTGTTTGCTTTTTGATCATTTGGTGTTGAAAGCTGTTCTTTTCCAATTAATTATGTGCTTGTTTGTAATTATCTGGAAATAATTGATTCCCTTTCGATTTTTTATAATCTGTTTAGTTAGGCTTTTATGAGGAATGCCTTACAGTACTTCTTAAGTTTTCTATTTTAAACAATATCTTCTTCCAATACATATGGATTCATCACATTAACTGTCAATTTAAGCATTTAATGTCAAAATATTTCTTTAACTCAGGGAAATTTGTTAATGAAACTGTTCAAGTTATGTTCTTATAGTTTTTTGGCCATACTTTCCGACTCTCCTACTCATGTTATATCTTAAATGAGCTAGCAATTCTTAGTATTTTTGGGGTAGTCCATCATATACCATTACAGTTTATCCAAATATTTTGTTGTTGTTGTTGTTTTTTACTGTTGATTACATTGACAAAGGGTACTTTTTTGTTTTTCTTTGTGGTGTTATTCTCTTAGTCACATGTTTTTGTTTATGCCTTTTGATTTTTCTTAGGTGGAATTGTTGTTCTTGGTGTTAGGTACGATGGGCGGTTCGATCTTTTTGTCAATAATTAAGCATTTCTCAATACCAATTGACTCAATTACGTGTTTCCTACTGCTTTTCAATTTTACCGTTGTTGGGGTGTTAACCATGTTTTCTGGTGGGATGCCGATTGTTTTGAGGCAAGGGTATATGGTATCGCTGGGGATAATTGTAGCTGTGTGGCTTACGAAATTGCCGGAGTGGACTACATGGGTTTTGCTGGTTGCATTGGCTTTGTATGATTTGGTGGCAGTTTTGGCTCCTTGGGGCCCCCTTAAGTTGTTGGTGGAGTTGGCCTCAAGACGAGATGAGGAATTGCCAGCTTTGGTTTATGAAGCTCGACCAACAGTTTCTCGCAATGAGGGAAATCAGCGGTCAAGTTTGGCGCCTTTTGTTGGTGGAGTTTCAGATTCTGGGTCAGTCGAGTTGCAGGCAGTGCCAAATAATAATGGCCCTAGAGATGGAAGTGAAAATCGTAGGAGTTCTGAGTATACTGCTATCCAGGTTAGAAATTTAGAGAATGTGGAAGGTGAAAGAGATAGGGATGAAGGTGAGAGATCCCCTTTGGTTGGTCATTCAAGAGAAAGGTATTCATCAGATGGTAACTCATCGGAATATTCTACTGTTGTTCGCAATAGAGAATCAGAGATTGTTGTGGATGAGGAAATGCCTCCTCTTGTTGACTTGTTGGGGATGGACAATGAGAGAGAGCAGGTAAGGAGGGTCGGTATAGGGGATTCAGTGATAGCAAGTAGAGGCATTAAGCTTGGTCTCGGAGACTTTGTGTTTTATAGTGTTCTGGTAGGCAGGGCAGCCATGTATGATCTAATGACTGTATATGCATGTTATCTTGCCATTATCTCAGGACTGGGGTGCACTCTTATTTTGTTATCTGTGTGCCGCCAAGCACTGCCTGCTCTCCCAATATCCATTACATTGGGTGTCGTTTTTTACTTCTTGACTCGATTGTTAATGGAACCTTTTGTTGTTGGAACAGCGACAAATTTAATGATGTTTTAACCATTATGATTTCTGTTCTATGCCAAGGGGAGAAAGAGAAAGGGGGTTCAATATTGTTTGTTTCGAACAATACCGATGATTTTGTAGGAAAGGGTTTCTTTTTTTTATTACCAAGCGGAAATTGATGCTGTATGCACTCTCATTCATTGTTCTCTTGTAAATTTCTCCTGATTCAAGTTCGAATTCATATGACAAGGGTTTTACCCATAATATATGCATTTTTGACAAAACATCTAACCTTGTTCCTTGGCTCTTATCTTATATGCTTTTGGTGTGACTGATAACTTTTTTTTAATCAAAAGCTTAGTATCTGAAAGAGAAATGAATGAATTAATTGCAACAACATGGTGTGTGTATATATAACAAAAGGGTTTTAGAAAGAAAGACAGTTTTGCAGAGTGGTTGAAACGAAGAGTCTTAAAGGGGACAGAGAAAAGATGATAAAACAACATACGGCCACCTAGAAATCAGCAGGAATAATTTTTAATTTCATGTAAGTTCTGCTTCACAAGCTGTTTAAACATCATTGTTGTTACAAAACTTGGTTGCATGTCAGTTGCTGCAGTTTTCTCTTGTTTATTGCATATATCCATTTCCACGTTCTTGGGTTAAAATGGCCTCCTATAAATAATCTGCTGAGACTGTGGCTCTTATTGTTTAGTTGTTTGTAATGATATGACTTTTATTACCAGTTGTATTTTCCTGTTTTTACCTTTTAGCATTATCATTTCAGTAATCCAGTCATCATTTTTGTGCTAATCCATGTATTCCATGTCTATTTTTAATGCATGCCAATCCATTCACCAAGGTTTTTGTTAGTCTTGATTGAACCATTTGAAACTAAAATTTTTTCTTTTGGACTGAAGATATAGCTTGTAGTTGTTATCTAGCTGGCTGTCCATTTAACCAATCATGGACCACTCAAGGCTTGACACTATAGCTATTGGTGACGTGATAAGGAAGAAGGGCTAGTATTTTTCACAGTCCTAATTAGATGTCCATCTAATTTGGATTGGTGGGCTATCCCAAGTTGTGGTCTAACGGCCTTTTTAATTTTTAAACGTCTCTATCCAATCTCCAAAATCTCAATTATGATCAGTCTTTAGGAAGAATCATTTGGTTGTATCCATCTAGATAGCCATGCAAGAATCTTCATATCTACATGTACTGCATCCTTTAGAAGGACATTTTCTATGATGCTATCAAGCCATGAACCACATACACATGGTTTCATAAAACCATATGATTCTCCCTATTTCCCAACTAAATCAAGCAGGTTTCACATGAAGAAAGTTTGCCTCCACATGTTCTATTATTCTTAAAAGATAAAGAAATTTTAAATAAAAACATAGGAAATTCCAAGTCATTTCATTAGAAGATGCCGTACTCTTTACAATTACAAGGCAAGTTAAATCAGATTGCTCTCAACAATAACTCAACTCCTATATTACAAACTAATTTTCATTGACAAAAAAAGAAGCATTGAATGATCAGAATTTAATTTCTAACCATTTCAAATGCTATAAAAAAAAAAAAAAAAAAAAAAAGGGGGAAAAGACAACGGAAAGACAAAATTACATCAGCATTTAAACAGATAAGAAGTTATCCTTCAGCTTTTCCTGTGCTGCTGTGATGGTGACTTGTCTCTGGTAGCTCCAAATTTATTACTCTTGGGAAACGATAATTTCTCGCTTACCAATTTGTTTCCACTCAACTGTCTCACATAATCTTTCTTCTTCATTGATGTTCTCAAATTTGAAACTTCCCCACTTATTGTAGGAACTAGGAACCATGTACCAACCAATACAAGTGCATAGTATTGCAATTGACCTTCCAAAAATTAGTAGGAACAACTAAATCAAGATTATAACTGCTGGGAGGTAAGAAGGACTTCTCATATTCTGCAACTCATCATTCCAAGAAAAGCTCTTCTTCTTCTTCTCAATCGTTTTATCAGATTCAGATGGGGTTAGAAGCTTATCAATAACTTCATAAACATACCTTTCAGGCTGATGATCTTTGTTATTTCCTGGTTTGTTTTTCTCTTCTTTCTTGTCTTTCAGCTTCACCACGACGGGGATACAATCATTTGAGTTCTTGTAAACAAATCGAACTATACTTTGTGATCCCATTTGTGAGTAAATCCGTTGCCTCTTCTCTTCAAGTTCAGCTCAAAGTGCAGAAAACTGGTCCAGTCCAAGTGTCGAATAAGGGTTCCATATTTTGCATACAAATTCCAAAAAAATCATATTCTTTTCCTTTGGTGACATATACGTTATTTGTATATTAATCCAAAAATAGAAGCAAAACGTATAAAATTTATTTCACCATTCAACACAAAATTTTTATTTAAAATTTTAAAATAATTAATTGACATAAGAACTCAATTTAGGTTATTAATTAACATGTGAAAAATATATATTCTCTATATTAAATCATTTTTTTTCATTAAAAATCAGTATGATTATTTAATACAAAATTTAAATTTAATTTTTTACTTAAATTAATTTACAAGTAAACTTAATATAAATTACTAACGTATGACATAATATATTCTTTATATCAAGTTCATTTTCTGTTAAAATCAGGTACATTTGATGAGAAACTAATGAGAGGAGTTAAATTCATCCTACTCATACTCAAATTTGCTAAGGCTCTGTTTGATACATTTGCTTTTTGTTTGTTTCAATTGAAAATGGAATGCGAAAAATAAATATAAAAAGCTAAAAATGAAGAAAAAATAACAAAAATATAATAAATAAAATGGCACCATTGTTACCGGGTTCTATAGCATAAAAGGGGTTTAAGGAATTTAATTATTTTTCGAGTTTTCTCTTTATTTAGAAAAAAATACATGTTGACATCCGAACATGGGTTAATTATAGATGACAAGATTCATTCATCTCCTGTTTAAAGAATAAAGTTTTTTTTTACAAATAAAAAAAATACAATTAGAAGTTAAAATATAGAATTGCACCTTTTTTTCATAATAAAAAAATAATTAATTAGATTTCATTTCACTTTTAGCTAGTTGCATTTGGTTCATTTATAATTTTTAAAATATAAAATTAATTATTTCATTAATTTGTTTGCCAATATGGATCACAACAAGCTTCTCTATCATTCTACCTAAAGTATGATAAAATAAGTACAAAATTGTAAAACAAATTGCACAAATTGTTACAATAGAAATGACGCACCAGTTCCTTCAGCTACTAATGGTATGCTAATAAAGTACTTAAGAAACGAGCAAAAATGTTGTATTTTCATGGTCTTCTTCAACTAAAACTTGCAGTCCTATAAAAAGAATTATATAATAAGGTGATTTTAGTGGATTAAAGGCCTAATTAACACTAAAATGCTGACAAACCGTTACTTAAAATATCAAAAATCATATTAACACTAGCATTATAATCCATAATTTTAACTGATTGGCAAGGATCATGACTGAAATTATTTGCAAAATGACCAAAATGGCTACCAATGACTTGATGCTTAGGAAAATATATCATCTTAAACTTTTTTATAATAGGATTGCCTATGAATAACTCCTGCTATTATCTATTTGAGAAACACAAAGAATCAAACCAGGGCAAGATTGAAGGATCCTAATGCTTGGGCATCGATGAAATCAAAGAGCGGAAATCGCTTGGTGTCAGGGTTCAGATGAATCAATATGAACTTTGAAGGTAGTTTTTTTGTACACGACGTTGAGGATAAAAGCTAAACGTTTGAAAGAATGGTTGTCTTGGAGGAAACAAGTATGGGAGATGCTAAAGTGTGGCTGGAAAAAGAGAGATCCATGGTTTTGAAACGATCCTCAATTTTACGAGAGTTTTGGTGTATAGTCTTCGGATGATAATTTCTTTCAAAAAAGTCTTCATTTTTGGAAAGCTTCTCTATTGACGTGAGATTTGCTATTAGTGAGTTGAGGATCTAGTAATCGCCATATCTAATTAACAAATGGTTTTTCGTTTTCTTTGTTTTACAGATTTGGTGAACTCAAACTTTATGCGTGCTCAATTTTTTTATAAAATAAACGTTGTATTCTGAGATAAATAAAGAGATTATAAATGTAAAGATTTAAATTTTAAATTTATTAGACGTTTACTCTTAAAAAAAATTACATAAATTAATTGAGTTAAATCTCTTAATTTATATAATCTTTTATGTTAATTAAAAAAAACACACAAAATTTTAAATTTAATCAAATTAATTCATACAACTTCTTTTAAGAAATGACATTCAAGTTTGAAATTCAAATTTTATCATTTACAATTTTTTTCTCTATCCTATAAAAAAAAAAAAACATATGTCTTTCAGCTCATGATCTAATAGTTAAGAGATTTTAAGAAAGACATATGTACGTGAGTTTTAATCCCATCACCCCCTTCTTCTTTATAGGGACGTTTGCCCTCCTTTGAACCAAAAAAATTATATTAAAATGTTAAGTTCACCAATACTGTAAAATAAAGAAAACGAAAAACCATTTGTTAATTAGATATACTGCCGACTAGATCCTCTGCTCTACTGAGGATGAACCTCACATCGACGGAGAAGGTTGCCAATAATGAAGATCTTTTGAAAGAAATAATCCTTAGACTACACACCAAAACTCTGATAAAATTCCAGCTCGTTTCAAAACCATGGCTTTCCTTTTCTTTTTTTTTTCCAACCATACTTTCGAGTGTCTTTCACTTGTTTCTTCCAAAACAACCACTCTCTTAAACTTCGGGCTTTTTTCCTCAACGTCCTGTGAAAAAAACAATTTTGCACAAACAATCTGATAATCCATCATTGGAGGCCTAGGAAAGGAAACGATCTTGAATTCCTGATGACATATTTCAAATAAAAAGAACTCAAATTACCATTATCATAAATGAAAAGAAACAAAGAAATGCAAGACAGCATAATAGAGGTATTCATGAAATCGAAAAGCGATAATTGTTTGGTCTTACAGTTCAAGGGAAAGAAGTTGAATTTCCTAAGTGATTGTCCATAGATGACATCGAGGAAGAGTGCAAAAGGTTCGAGAGAGATTTGTCTTTCGAAGATGCGAGTGTGGGGTGGGTGATGCTGAAATGGAAGCTTGAAGAGGTCGTCAGTGTTGGCAACCTCCTTAGCTCATGTCTTCCTCCTTTGACAAGACATGTTATAGCTCACCCTAGCTACATCAAAAATGGTTTTCTCTCTTACCACTTGCTCACTACAATTCTTTGTGGTGTGTCTGTGTGCGTGTTCTTATACTTTCTTGGGTCCTATATATATGTAACTTATCATATAATTACATCTAATCTAATCAATGGAAACTAAAATTTAAAAGGAAAAACAGTCATATGTACCAATTTTTAACAGTAAACGGATTTGATATAGATAAGATATTTTATCATGTGTTAATAACCTCAAATAAGCTCATTAGTCAATTAATTATTGGAAAATTTTAAAATTAAATTTTCTATTAAATTATCATACCAACTTTTAGCGGAAAAAATAAATTTTATGAAGAGAATTTTTTTTCATATGTTATATAATAACCTAAATTGAGTTCATATTAATTAATTATTATAAAAGTTTAAATTTAAATTTTGTGTTGAATAGTCAAATTAATTTTATACATTTTATTTCTATTATTGGAATAAAAATTTAAAGTATTTTTGGCATAAAAGGAAATGAATATGTCTTTTGGATTTGAAATGAATTTGTGATTATCTGTAAAAGAAAATTCAAAGGAACAAATTTAGAATTTTTTTTGTTGGTTTTTCTATTTTTCCTAAAGGGTTTCCTTGATTTGTATATCAATTTATATCATTTCGGCAAAGAGCCCCTCTTTCTCATAATCATAGCATAAATATCTTTTTCTTTAAAAATTCAAATGGTAAAATTCATGCATATTCCAAACTAAATCATTTCTCAAATATAAAATAATTTGGTTTAGTAAAATAAAATAAAAAAAAAAGATATAAGGAGATGCATTCAGAGACAAGCAATAATCCTAATCCTAATTAATCTATTTATGCTAATATTTTGAAATTTGAATAAATTTTTGGATTCTTAAAAACAATTAAAGTTATATATTTTAAAATAAACCAATTTGTAGTTTTAAGTTGACATTTTTTTTTCTCCTTCCTAAGTTTGTTATTTGCATATATAAATATCAAACAAACCATTAAGGTTTATTCTAATTATAGAATTTGATCTTTCGATAGAAAATTTATATTTAAATTTTTATATTAATTAATTGATTCATCTATATAGTAAAAAATCAATAAAGTTTCCATGTTTGATCCTAAATTTCAACCTTCCATATAAGTTACACATAAAATTAATTTGTTCTATAATTATAAGAATCGGACTGAATAATGATATACTCAAGTCTCTCTGTCTCCAATCTAATGACAGTTGATAGAAAGGATTTTGCATGGAATAAAGCTGAAAATAAAGTTAAAAAGCTGAAAGCAAAGAAAAAATAAAGTTAAAAAGCTGAAAACAAAGAAAAAATAACAAAATGACACCATTGTTACCGGGTTCTATAGCGTAAAATTTATTACTAACATGTGATACGATATCTTTTTTATATCAAGTTTGTTTTCTGTTACAAAAAGGTACATTTAAATTTCCTTTCTTTTAAACCCTCCAATTCCATTTGTAAATTTGTGTATCTCAATTAATTCTTAATTAATAATATCAGCATGATGATTAAAATGTATTATAAAATAATTGATAAGAAACTAATGAAAGGAATTAAATTCATCCTACTCAAATTTGCTAAGAATATGTTAACTGGTACTATTTGTTTTTTGGTTTTTTTGTTTTAATAGAAAATGAAAAGCAAAAAATAAAGATAAAAAGCTAAAAATTAACAAAAATACAATAAACAAAATGGCATCATTGGTAATGAATAGAAGTGTTCATGAGCTGAGTCGGATCAAGTTTAGGTCAAGTTCATACTTTGTATTAATAATTTATGTACTTATTTTAAGTTTGATCCAATCTGAAATTTCAAGTTTTAAAATTTTTCAAACTCGATCCAAATTAAAAAAATAAATTTCAAATTTATCAATTTTACTTAATTTATAAAATAAAAATTAAAAAATTATGATTAAATTAAATTTAATGAAATTATATTCAATTCACATATACATAAAAATTTAAAATAACATAAAAATTTAAAATAAAAATTAAGTTTAAAAAATATATAATTTATATATATGTGAATTAATTTATATATAATTCACATATATATAAATAAATAAATAAATTATATTTATGTAAATTAGGGTTGTACTCAAATTTTAAATATTTTGTCCAAGACTCGACCTAAAATTTAAAAAGTTTAAAAATTATGCCTAAACTGTTTAACGAGTTTTAATTTTTTATTCAAATTCTTTGAAGATTTGAACGAATAATCCAACCCTTAAACAGATTTAGTACCAAACTCAATAGCTTAAAATTCATAAATTTTCAATTCTTATTTTCGGGTTTAAGAAATTTAATTACTTTTTGAATTTTTTATTTATTTAATAAAAATAAAACATGGTAATATCCGAACATGGATTAATGGTAGATGACAAGATTCATGCATCTCCTATTCAAAGAATAAAGTTTTAATTTTTTTTTACCCATAAAAAAACATAATTGGAAGTTAAAAAATAGAACTGCACCTCTTTTTTGTACCAAAAAATAATTAAATGAAATATCTAAACAAATTTATTAACAAGAAATTAATTTTTTTAAAATTTCTTATTAATTTAATATATTTAAAATTTTACTCATTAAATTTTTTTTGGCTTTTACTTTTATCTCTTAAGTATCTTATGAATAAATGTATATATTTTTGTCAATTTGTCGACGTGAGAAGGTGTTATTTGTTCAAATCTACAAACTAAGAATCTATTATTCTCGATTTCTTTGATAAGGTTTTTAAGAAAAATGCATCATTTAATAAAATGGAATGTAGATATTGGCCTTTGAAATGAAACTAGTTTACATCGACATGAAAAAGTCAATTTAGAAGTTTGGATTTGGCATTTTCTTTTTTTTAAAGAAAAAGCTTAATGTGAATTAAAAAAAGACAAAATGAAATTTATAATATAATAAAAAACATATTAATAAGTGGTTTGTTCAATTGGTTAAGATTCGTTTTCATTGACAAAAAAATTTTGAGTTCGAGTCTTACCGGTGATCATTTATTAAGATCATCTTGAATGAATGAACTTCAACTATCTGTTTTAAGTTATCAGGTACGATACATCTTATCTTAATCTAAGGAATTGAGCAACCCATCTATGCTCGAATTTTTTTTTTCAAAAAAAATACTTAAAATATACCAATTAAAATCTGATATAAATTGATAAATGATAAACTGACTCATCTTAAGTTCAAAAACAATTTCTAATTATTTTAATGCTAATTTGGAATCAATTATATTAATAACACAAATATTTCATCTTGTATTTTTAAAAATATAGTTAGATCATTTTCAAGCTTTGTTTGGGTTTTTTTCATATGATCTAATATATTCAAAGTTTTATTTTGAAACTGCTTCCGTAATAATTAAATCTCAATTGAAAAAGAAAATTATTAACCAGTTTAATTTTTATCGGTAATCTTATATTTATTTGAGAATGAAACAATCATATTTATCTTGATATTTTAAATAAAAAAGTTATTAACAAAAATTCAATATCTTTACTAACTATAAAATCCCTAATTGGTTTGGTGCTATGAACATAGTTATTAATTTTATTTTGGTATCAGTCGTATCAATCGATATATTTAATTACATTAAAATATAGTATATCTAAGAATAATTTTTATATCAAATTTGGTATCGGTAATATTGATTGTTTTTGTCGGTTTCGACTAATTTCAGTGAATTTTGATGGATTAATTTATTTCGATCAATATATGAATATAAAAATGTTTTATAATTTTTAATTTATCTTTTATTGTTGAACTATTTTTAACCTAATAAAAATCAAATTCATTGATAAAATAACCCTTAAAAGTTGAGTTTTTTATTTTTATTATAATTTTTTTCTTTTATATTTTATTTTTTCAAACCAAATTTCATAAGTATTTCAATATCTTTCAAAAAATACAATTGTGCTCCTTTTCTAAGATTTAACGATCATGAAACCAATGTTAATTTTTTTTATCTATTTGTTTTTATCTTAATATTTATATGAAAAAATATTATTTAAATATCATCTTATTAGATTAAGTATTTAAAAATATCTTGAAAATTTTTTGATATTATTTTTTGATATTTTAAAACTTATTTATTTAATTTTTGAAGAAATTGTATATTTATTTTATAAATTATTAATAATATTATAATATACAAATTTATGTATATTTATAAATATATTTACACTAAATTAAAAAATTCAAATAATATGTCAAAATAACTGGTAATAACATATATCATTTTTTTAAATAAAACTAAAACGTTGTCTGATACAATATTAACAACCTTGACTATAGTACATAAAAAATCAAATTATAAAACAAATAATATACATTCATAAGGTTATATTAGTAATTTAATTTTTTCTTAAAATAAAATTATAGTAATTTTTAATCAAATTTTTTACTTTTTCTCATTGTATTTAGAATTATTTAAATTTCACCCTTTTTCTATATTTAAAAATAATTAATTTTTTATTTTTAATAATTTTACAAATATATAACGATGTTTAATTCACCCACATACTAGTAGTCTAGTTGGTAAAATGGAGATTAATAAAAAATGAAAAAGAAAAAGCTACAAGAATGAAGGGTTGTAAAACTTCCAAGCAATTGGGGCTTGGAACGTCAGAATCCACTGTTGTCCGTTGACAGAGAACAAAATGAAGAAGACTTCCATGATCCTCAACTCAGCAGCAGAGACAATTTCTTGCAACCAAGATCTCTTGACGGAAATCCTCCTAAGATTACCCACAAAATCTCTCATCAAATTCAAGTGCGTTTCAAGGCAATGGTTCTCCATCATTTCCGACCCTGAGTTCTGTTTCTCACACACCCGCCACCACCAGAGCAATGGGTTTCTCTCCCCCACCGCTTTTCTGCTCAAAGGTGTCTGCTTCACCCCTCCCTCTGAATTCTCCATAATCCCTTTGAAGCATTACAGTAACGTCCCTTTCTTTCATTACATCAATGAGTCTGACGTTAAGATTCTTCAATCTTGCAATGGTTTGCTTCTTTGTGAGTCCTATAGACAAAGTTACTTGATTTGCAACCCCACTACTAAAAACTTCAGGAGGCTATATTGTCCTCGTTACTCAGCTTATAATTTTCTTACTAAATTTTTTGTTAATTTGGCTTTTGATCCTTTAAGATCACCTGATTACAAGATTATTTGTATCTGGGAAAGTTCCCGGGAACCTTCTAAGTTGAATCTGGATTTATATTCGTCAAAAACTGGTTCTTGGGATTTATCCATAATCACTTTTGAGGTAGATGAGGATGAGTCCATAGAGCTAAGGGATGGGGTTTTCTGTAATGGAAGGATTCATTGGTGTGGATATGGAAATGAGTTGTTGTATTTTGATGTAGAGAATGAGTGTTTGCAAAAAATGCGGATGGCATTACCAACTACAATGGATGCGCCTGAAGAATGTAGATATTTCGGGGAGTCTCGAGGAGTTTTGTATCTTGCAGTGACTTACTGCATGGCCGCTTGTTTAGAGTTCGATGTATTTGAGATGGCAAGAGATTATTCTCAATGGAACTGGAAGAAACGTCTGAATCTTGGTGATGCAGTGAAAGTTTTTCCTGAGCTAGAATTGGGTTGTGTTGAGTACAATCCTGGATTCTCTGGTGTGTGTTTTATTCGATCTGAGAAAGAAGAAGAGCCAAAGGTTGTGGTATGGGCAGATGGTAAAATAATTTGCTTTGATTTCAGGGAAGGGACATGGAACAAGCTCCATGATCTCGGACCGGGTATCAAAATTGGCTCCCTATATCTTGGAGAGTATGATCATTTACATTATGAAAGATTTCATGCTTATCAATACTTTGAGAACCTCTCTTGTTTATGAGGATCTTTGCTTCTTCCTACAGAAATCTTCCCGACCCCTTTTGTTGGTAAGTAACAGAAACTGTTTTGTACTTTAATCTTAAACACCTGTTAACAGTTGGCTGTTTACCTTTCTTACTTTTCCCACTAACATTACAGATGTTATTATAAGAGTTTCCAAATAATAATTATTCTGATCAAATTAGTTATGCACATTCTTCTTTTGTGTTTATTTAATTTCGCTTTTTGTTTATGTACCATATACAGGTATATCTTTATGAGCAACAAAACATTTTTATTATTGCTTTTGAAGTTTGTTTTGTCCGCATAGTTTCTTAGGAGCTAGGTCATTTGAGGTACTTTTTTCTTTACAAGATGATCTCACACATGCTGGTTCTTTTTATTTACTTTGGCAGGCTTAGGGCCATTGTCTCCTACATTATATTCAAATTCTTACCAGAATTCATAACTTTGATTGTTGATGTTTAAAAGTAGAAATTTTGGTCACATTAAGTTAAAATATTGAATTTGTGAAAGCATTTCCCTTCATTAATTCATCTTAATCCTGGGAAAATTTTGGCTGTAAAAGTTAACACTCTGTCCTTCTTATCTCATGGCCTAACTGCTCAACTTGTTTAAGCTATATTGCCCTAAACTTGGATGAGAGATTCTCTGTTCTTCCGTTATTCAATCTAGGAAAGAAGTAATGTCAAACCTTGTAGTAGTTGTGTATGGGAAAGCAATTCCTATGATTTAAACTATGGGATGAAAAAGCTTTATGATCTAAAGCCAGGTGCCAGGTTTCTACACTCGGTTTTGTTCTTAGAGGGTTTAAGCATCAAATTCAATCTGTTCACATCGTAATTGACATCAGCATTCTAACAACGTAGTAACCATTACTCCTTCTAGCAAGAAATAAAGCACAAGAATCTCCCTTCAGTTGACTATTTAAATCATATATTCCGCAGATTCTGCCCGTTTGTTTGAACCCTTATTTTTATTCTTTTTTCTTGTTGAATATATTCCTATGTGCTGATATATTTACAAGGTACCGCACTGATTTAGAGGTTTTTTGTGATAGATTTATCTGAGAGGAAAACTTTGATCTCCTTTTTGTTTAATAAGATTATCCTGCCCACATGCTGGTCCTAATCTTTTTTAATTGCATTAATTGGTGGGATCAGGACTGAGTTTTCTTGCAATTGGGTCCAAAATCTTATGGAAGTTTGGGCTTTTGATCTGATGTTTGAAAGAAAATTTGGTTAACAAGCCAACTTTGAACTTCTCCCTTAAATGAAACTGCCCCTTGCAATTTACTGCATTGTTTTGAAGGTTCAGATGCATTGGCATAAAATAGACATGTCGCCCAACAGTATGTCAAATTGTAAATTATCTACTAAACCCGAACTAGGTTCTAACTTACATTAAGTTGAACATGTGAATTCGTTATGTAATGAATTAAAGACTGAATAATTTGAGACATTGAAGTTTACTGTTCAAATTTGCTATAAACTTCTTCCTTCCTATGCAGCAGTTGTTTAAAATATAGGTTATACCTATAGACTGCTCATATTTATTTAGCAAAATATAGTATTTCTTACTGGAACCTCGTCTTTACTAAGTCATCACGATTGCATTTACTAACATGCACATATAACTGTGATCTTATACTCTGGATTAGTCATTTTTCTCTTTGAATATTGAGGAAAGATATTGATGGGTAACAAACTAGGAATAACAGTTTATGATATACCATATATAGACTGTTGCTCAAATTACTGAAACCTATACTTTTCTTTAAAAGGCATGAGTAAGGATGCAATATGCCGATAGATTTAGTTCCATGATGCTGCTAGTGCTGAATAGTGCAGATGGGTTTGATTGTCCGCAATGTTCCATTAGTAGCAATACGGTTAATATTTTTCGTGCGGACTGCAACCTTCCTGCCATATCTGTGCTGAGTCACAATTTCATTGATTTCATAGTAGTAGGCTAAGCTTATTATCCTTTTAAAAGAAGTCTACTTCATATATTTGTATTATATTAGGTATTTGGATCGCAGCCAATCTCAGTATTATAATTGTTTCTCTTCTAATCGATTGCTTGTTTTTGATTCAACAGGCCGAAGGCATGCAAAGTCACATGATGTTGGCAATTTTAAGATTGTGTACAAACTGACATGTTGTTAAGCATCAACGTTGGGTGTTACAGTATAGTGAACAGTTAAAGGGATGCTCAGGTGCACGTATTGAACTTACCATTGATCATAATACAAATATAAAAACACTGTTGGCCTGAATGTAGAAAGTTTTTGTTGTTCCATTTGTTACTGATTTTATGTGGAGCATTTCAAGTTTTTTTTTTTTTTAATATATAAAGGAGGTCATGGTCTAAGGATAAGGGAATAGGTCACTGGGGTTTGAACTCCAAACCTTTTGGACGTTATCTCTTAAGGGTAGTTGCATGAACTAACCGAATTAAATTTTAAGTTCAGAGTTAAGTTTTGTTGATAAGCAATCATAGCTGATTTGTACTTCCAATACATTAATGTTTTTCTGTTTCATGCTCATGCCAGCAAAATATGTGTTTAAGTGAAACAAGATAGTAAGAAATTGTGTCCGAACCTCAAGATTGTACAAACTTGTAAGGGGTTGCTTCTTTGTGAGAACTTCAATCGTAGGTATAATTTCATGACCCAGTCCTTCATCTGCAACCCCACTACCAAGAAATTCAAGGAGTTCTTTTCCTAACAAACCATTTGTGAGTTCTAGCTATGCTGTTAATTTGGCTTTTGATCCTCCCAAATCACCTCATTATAAGATTATTTGGATCAGGAAGGTGTCCCGTAAGCCTCCCGAGTATGAGCTGGACATATATTCATCAGAGACTTACTCTTGGAGTGTAGCCAGAATCAGATTTGAAGTAGATGTAGTTATAGAATTCGGTAACGCGTTTCTGTAATGGGAAGATTCATTGGGAGGGTATTACAAACATGTCGCTGTATTTTGATGTAGAGAATGAATGTTTGGAAACAATGCCAATGCCATTGCCATTACCAACAATCAATGCGCCTCAGAGTGGAGCATATTTCGGAGAGTACCGAGGGATTTTGTATTTTGTGGTTACCTACCAGTTCTCTGTTTGTTTAGAATTCGAAGTTTATGAGATGGCAAGAGATTATTCTCATTGGTTCCTGAAGAGTCGTCTGAATTTGGGTGATGCAATGCAAGCTTTTCCTGAACTAAACTTGGAATGCCTTGAGCAACGTGCAGAATTCTCTGTTTTCTGTTTCATTAGATCTGAGAAAGAACAAGAGCCAAAGCTTATGGTATGGGCAATTGGTAAAATAATTTTCTATGATTTCAATGACGAGGCATGGAAAAAGCTTTATGATCCAGGGCAAGGTGTCAAACTTGGCATTCGTTATTTAGAAGATCCAGGTGCAGGTTTTGTATGGTTCAATGCTTTTCAGTACCATAAGAACCTGTGCTTTCTGTCTTAATTTTCTAGAGACGCCCATATTCTCCACTACTTTTATATTGGTAAGTCACAATCGTAAGCTCTTTTGTACACCAATGTTTAGAAACTTCATATTTTGTTGACATTCGGCTGTTTAATTAACCTCTACACGTTAGAGTTGCTTATAATTAATCATGCCATACGGTTTCCAGGCTAAGATGAATACTAATAATTTTTTGCAACTTTTTAAGAAATATCATTTAAAAATTTAAAAATTTAAAAATTATCGTTTATAATTTTTTTTTTTAATTTTCCACTTTGTAAATAAAATTGCCAATAAATGAATAAAGGGGAACAAATTAACAATAAATGCAAATTGCAAATTAATAAAAAAAATCCAAATTACAATAAGTTGGCCTTTTATGGCATTTCTGTAATTCACGTCAAACATAAGTAGTTTTCCAATCATGTGAATCATAATTTTTTTTTTTGGCAGCATGTGAAGCACAAAGGTACTTTGATTGCCATTTTTGTTTTGTATTACATTTTCCTGTAGTAAGTAAAATTAAACTATAAAAGATTAAGTTGTAACTTTTAACGAAAAAGAGGATTGTCACATGTTTTATTAAAATATATTTAAAATAAATAATTAATTAATTAAATTATACAAAAAAATATTTTAATTGTTTAGTAAGTCTAAAAATTTGACCAATAATTTATAGAATAATGGTATTAACTTAAATAATAGAATCATTGCTTTGTAAAACTATATAGTAATTCTTATTATCATTTTAAGAATAAAATAAATTTTCTTTATTTTAAATGATTAATTTTTTAGATATATGAATTTTTTTTTAATTTTAATGAAAACTATGGCTTATTTCATTTAGTTAATTTTATATTCAGAATTAAATTCAGAAATAGAATTTAAAGTTTTAACCATTTCTTTGTTGAAATACTTTGATGGAAAGCTTTTTTTTTTTTTTTTTAATTTGGATTGAATTTGATAATTTATATATTTGTGTTATATAAAATATTAATAATTAATGTATTTGTATTGTATATAATATAAAAATTATGTATTCTAATTTATATTAATAAAAAATATAAAATATATATTTTTTAATTTATTAAATTTATATATAATTTTTATTAAAATTTTAACTCAAAGTTTTTTTTTTATATTTTTTATCATATTATATTTTAAATTGTCGTTGAAAGTTTAATGCTTTTATTTAGGTGGCTAAAAACTCTTTATATTACAGTGGTAGTTTGACAAAATCCATAATTTCCGAAATCTCCAAGAATTAGGGATTGCTCGCATGAAGAAAACCAAGCCCTCCTCTTCCCCCATATCTTCAGCAGAAACGATAGCCCACAACCAAGACCTCTTGTTCCAATTCCTCATAAGAATACCTCCGAAACCTCTTCTTAAACTCAAATTAATCTCAAAACAATGGCTTTCCCTCATTTCCAGCCTCCAATTCTCTCATTCCCACTCTCTCCACCACCAAAACCAAGGCTTTCTAACCCCAACAGCTCTCTTTCTAGGCATTGGAAACTGCTATATACCACCCTTCGAATTACCTGTCCTTCCCTTAAACCCTCAAACCAAAGTTCCCATCTTGGATTTCATTGATGACCCACACTTCAAAATCCTCCAATCTTGCAACGGCTTGCTTTTGGGTCATTGTTGTTACAAAAGAAACGAAGGGTCGAGGTATTTCATCTGTAATCCAACTACCCGTAAGTTCAAAATGATTTCTTTGCCTGTTTCGCAATCGGGTTCTTTGCGTGCTGTTAATTTAGCCTTTGATCCTATTAAATCACCTTATTATAAGGTTATTTGTGTAAGGAAACTGCCTTCTCCAAGTAATAGGTTTGGTATATATATTTATTCATCAAAGTCTGACGAATGGGATGATTCTTGGATTAGTTTTGGGGCCAATGAGTATATTAGGTTTGACTATGGTGTTTTTTGTAATGGGATCATTCATTGGAATAGTAATGGTAGGAAGTCTTTGCGGTTTGATTTGGAGAATAAAGTGTTGAAGAAAATGCCAATGTTGGCTCCTATGTTTCAAGCTCCAGAGGAATCAGAAGATGAGGATAGTCGATATTTTGGGGAGTCTCGGGGCCATTTGCATCTTGGGGTTACATATATGCCACTTCGTTTGAAATTTAATGTTTTTGAGATGGCGGCTGATTATTCACATTGGTTCCTTAAATACAGTCTGAACCTGGATGATGCTATGAAAGCTTTCCCTGACTTTGGGTTGCCTGCTCTTGATATCTATTATGGATTCCGAATTTTGTCTGTTATCCGATCTGAGGGTGAAGTGTCAAAAGTTGTGATTCTTGTGGATTGTAAAGCAATTTGCTATGAGCTAAAGGGTGGGATTTTGCTAAATCTTTATGAGCTAAAGCAGTGTCCTGAGACCCTCAATCGGTGTCCATTGAATTATATTGGGGTTCAAGTCTATCAATATTTTGAGACCCTCTCTTGTGTTTGAGGGTCTAACACTCCTACTGGAAGGCTGGCATGGTCATACCAATCTTCTCAGGTCTTATTTCAGTAAGTAATCCAGTAGTTTTGTTATATGTTTGATATTGTGTTTGGTCAAATATTTCTGCTGTTACAGGAGTATGGTTTATAGTGTTATTATCATTAAGGGATTTTTACCTGTATCAAGTGAAATTAGCAATCTGGCTTGCCTGTTCTTGTTTACTGATTTCTTTATCTATGATTCTTTTAAACAATGCGACTGTATTCCTCCTGCACCACTTTTTGATTTGATTAGTCACTTTTATTCATGATTCAAGATTTCTTGTTTGACTTCTGAGATCTTTCAATATAGCAAATTGGCCTTCTGTCTATGATATTGGGTTCACTTTGTTTATGATTGGCCATTTGAACTTGTGGAAAGAAGAAAAGAACATTGAAAAGAAAGGAAAACTTAAAGAATTAAAGTTCGCAGAAATGGTAGAGAGGCAATAGAGTTGTGGCAATGGTGGTGTGGCTGTATTTACCTAGGAATTTATCTCTTCTTATATATGAGTTATATGTTATATATATACATATATATATTTTGAAATAAATTGTCAAATGAAACTTCCATGTCCCCTGTGCTTTAACTATTATTGTTCCAATCAGTAAGAAAGCCTTTCTAGCATTTAATCATTTTGAAACTAATGCTGGACAAAAGCTTGCATCAATATGGCCTTATCCTGAGTTTTAAATATTTATGCCTTTAATCTTGGTCTTGGTGGAAAGATATATATATATATATATACATACAGAGAGAGAGAGATAGAGATAGTATCTTGTATAGATAATTGGAAATTTGTACTAATTCTTTTTCCTTGTGATAGCAAGCATTAGTGGGGTATGTTGTGACTGATAATTCTTCAAGAATATAGATCTAATTTTGAGCTCCACTGTGCCTATTTAAGGGAAAAGTGACCAAATTAAGCATGTTTCACCTAAGCAGAATAAATAAGCTGACTAGGAATGACACATGACATGAGTAATGGTGCTGGAGGCTGACAGTATGATATAATTCAAAGACGGAGTTACTGCCAAGCTGGGCAGATGGTTTTAATCTGCTAACATTAGTAGCAATTTGATGGGTGCTTGGAGGAATTCGGATATTGATGCAAACTGCTAACTCTTTACCTTTTTTCTGCTGAGTTATAATTTGTTTGATTTCATAGTAACAACATAAGCTAATGGAGCTTTTGAGTCTTCATGTTTGTTATTGTCTTTTGTTGTTTTAATCTTGTAGTCTCATACAATACTATCAAAGTAGGGAGTTGGAGTGCAGCCAATGTAAATTATATAATTGTGTCTGTTGTAACGGATTGCCTGTTTCTGATTTAACAGATTGAAGGAATGAGGGGGTTTGCCTTGACTATTCTAAAGGCTCGTATCTTGATCTTGCAGATGAGCAGTGCCTAAGTGATACCTGTTTTATACAAAGCAATTTACTGTAAGACATCAGTTTTGGGTGTTAGGGTTTGGTGAATATTTATTTTTAGTGCTATACTTGATATGTACATAGCATTCTGAATGTTTATAAAATACTATTAGACTGCCTCCCTTGTGTTAATACTAGTTTCTCTCAAGTCCCTTCTGCTAGTCATTTATCTTTTTGGCATTAGCAATACTTATTTGCCGATGTGCATCTAATGTAAAGATCCTTTCCCATGCCCTATATGATGTATGAGACTTAGTGATTGATCCCCCTACGGTCATAGAACAATGCTGGCTGGCTATCTCAGTCTAGAAGTTTTGTGTTCTGTGTATTTCTAGCTCCTATTATTATGCAAAATATGTAAGCAGGGTTTATGATCTGAGCATAGGCTGTTTGTTCAATCGTGAAAAGGTTCAATCCATAATTTCTGTTACTGAAATTTTGCTATATATGCATGCATGTGATGATAGACATTGGCTTTGTAGGAGTCATTTCTATTAGCAGAGGTGCTTGGTTCGGGTTCAGGTTCAGGTTCAGGTTCAAGTATTAGAAATGCAGGAATTTAATTATCACATCCACTAATTTCACAGTGACAAAATAGGCTGGCCAGAGAAGGCTTCACTGCTCATCGAATTCCTGCCAGTCACTCATCATTAGAAACCTTAGGTATCAGCATCAATGCATCAAAATCTATGCAAGTTATAGATATCAATATTGGTTGGAAACTTGATTCATTCAATCATGGGAACCAGAATTATAAAAGATATGCCCTGATATCATTCTATTTAAATTTCCTGGGGCAATTACCTTTATCCAATTTCCAGATGATTTACTATAAACTGCCCATTTAGCTGTATTATGGGCTACACCGTTAAAAGTTTCCATTTACTTGCATTTACAGAAGTTCCCCAGGGTCAAAAGGAAAAGCTGTTCCATCAATCTTATGTCCTCAGCCCCTTGGGTTAATTGAGCTAAAGGTTACCCCATTTTCCTTTGTTATGTCTGATCCTACAGAATAAGACAAATGCATATCGCAACCAACGAGAGATTATAGAAGAATTCATCAGATACCATAATTTCAGAAATGGGAGAAAATTCCCATCAAAACACCAAAGCTAATATTATCAATGTTCCTACGTTTTCATAAAGAAAATTAATCACATGTCAATGTCCTTATGCTACAATATTCAATATGCTGTATCAAGATTTTGCAATTCTGGTTTGAATATAACAACTATAAGCTAATTGCTGGATGAACAAAGCTTTCGAAAAGTTTCATAGATTCAAGCAAAGAGACATGCATCAACATGCTTAAATCAGACCAGCAAATAGTACCACCAAATTAGATACTCATTAACAACAACATAGTTGAAAAAATACTGAAGTGGACATAACACTTGCAGCAACATGCTCAAATCAGGAGGGAAGAGACAAGAAATGTAAGAAAGTTTACCAAAGTAAGGTGTTCGTACGAGAGAAAGGGTCTCAAAGTATTGATAGGTATCCTATGCGGAATAGTCTATAGCAGAACCAAAACTGCCTGTTGTGGGATATGGCTTTAAATTGCAAAGCTTCTTCGATGTTTGTGATCTAAGATTATATGGCAAGGCTATACCACCCAAAAACATGACCACCACTGACTCTTCCTCACGTTCGGATTGGACAAAACTCAACACCCCAAAAGACCGAAACTTCTTCTCCAAATGCCAACTGAGCTCAGGAAATGCAATTCTAACTGGATCAAGATCGAGGTGATACATTACAAGCCAACAAGAATAATCAGTTGCCATCTCCAAAACATCAAACTCCAAAGCAAAATGGTTTTAAGTCACTACCATATGCAAATGGCCACGAGAGCCACCAAAAGACCAAAGTAGTATGAAGGTAATTCCTCACAGTAATACTCATCACTACACCAATGGACCATTCCCTTAAAGAAAACCCCAGTCCTAAAACATATTCCAGATGGAGGATGGAAATTTTTGCCTAAAAACCTCCAGGAATCTGTCTCCGAGGAATACAAGTTAATCCAGAACTCGCCGGAAAGCTCCTCTTGTTCCCTAATGGCAATAATCTTGTAATAAGGAGATAACAAAGGATCGAATGCCAAGTTTACTGAAATCAAGCGTTCCTCAAATTCACGACAAGGAAATGAAAATCTCTTAAACTGTCTTGTGGTTGGGTTGCAGATAAAATACCTGTGACCACAATCCTTGTCATTGACTACGGAGTTACAATAATCTGCAGAAGAGAAAAGACGGCAAAATCTCAAAGTATCTCCCTTGCTTCCCTTCAATAAGAAACTAAAAGAGCAAACAAGCAAACAATTGCAAGACTCTTCGATTCGGACACGGGAGACATTGAGATACTCCAGAAAGGGAACTTTCTCACATGGTTTTCAGAATTGAGTGGAACAACCTGGAATTCAGGAGTACGGGTGTAGTCATTGTTGAGCAAGAGAGCAGATGGTTTGAGATAGCCATTGGCTTGGTGGCAGCGGGCGTGGGCAAGGGTAAAGTTGGGTTCAGAGATGATACAAAGCCATTGTTTGGACACGCATTTGAATCTGAGGAGCGATTTAGTAGGCACCCTGGTAAACATATCTGTTAGGAGGTCTTTTGCAGTTGGCTATTGCCATTCCAGGAGACGCCATGCCTTTGCTCTTTTTTTCTCATTTTTGCAGTCTGATGAATCAACCCTCCAATGAAGGGGCATGGCTCCTGGAACTATTAGGTCCAAAAGGTTCAGCCCTGAAGACTAGTCTATGAAACAACTGTAGCAAAACCCAGAAACCAAAATCTCAAGACTTGCCTTAACAACAGTTCAAAAGTGACAATCACGTATAAAACATTAAAACTGAAGCGTCTAACACTGACACTCTTTCCATTCCCACTCTCAAGCGGATCATGTAAAAGGAAACGTTAACAAGTGCATGAATCGATTAAAGTGAATTAATATATTGTATTTGTTTCCTCCTTAAATTTGGTTAAAGAAAATATACCAAATATAAAATTTTTTCTACATATTTTAATTATCTTCTTTTTATAATTAAAAAGAAATATGGAGATGCAGATATTTTTATTATCTTTAATCCACGCTTATATAGACATTCATCAACGTTAAATGAATAAGCCGAATGAGTTTATGGAGATAGCCACAGCCATTTGCTTTGTCTTTAATACCTAATTATTTTAATTAATAGGCAGATTTGATTAGGTTATTTAGTTGGCTATCAGCTTTTATGTCATATCATTCATTCTTACAGATTTATGCACTGATTAATTTGATTTGTTTGTTGAGTTTTAATTGGACGTACGAGCTGCTATCTTAAAATTTATTTTATTACGACTTTAATTTTTATTTGTATATATAAATTCAAAAAAAAAGGTTTAAGTTTAAAGTTCAAGTAGTCTATAGATCTATGATTTTAAGTGTAAATTAATTGAATATAAACGAATTTTATTTTATTCATAATTTATTCATTTAATTAATAAATTATAAAATATTATTCGTTTATTAAATTTAATAAATAAATATAAACGAATAAAAACCTAATTTGTTTACAAATTATCAATCAAACACTTTGTTCATTTATCTCGAATATAAATAAATCAAATATGAATAAATTTTATTATGTTTGTATTTGTTTATTTAATTAACGAACCTAATAATATTATTTATAATCATTTGTTAAACTAATGAATAAATATAAAAATATAAAACAAATATATTCATAAAAATATTGATAAACATCCTAAATAATAATATAATAACTTATTAATATAAAAATCTATCAACTTATATTAATATAAAATTTTTTAATTTTACATTTTTTTTCTAAATATTGATCTTAATAAATCCAAATATTAAAATTATTATTTTTATTTATCTTTCTCATCCCTTTAATCTATTAAAATCATTAGTTAAAAAAAGATATAAGAATATGTAAATCTTTTTGGTATAAGTTAATCCCTCCCCATTAATATAATATATAAATAAATATATATAAATTAATTATTAAGTTAATATGTAAAATAAAAAATTGAAAATTTTCATTAAAATTTTTCTTTTGATAATTTCTTGAAAAGCTAATCATAGAATGCTACAAACTATAAAAAAGAAAAAGGATTTTTAAGAATTTAGTATGCAATGAAAAAAAGAAAAAAACCAACAATTTTCTTTACGAAATTAAAAAATTTTACTCCCAATATATAAAAATAAACTTATATACGTAACCGTAGAGGAATGAAGAGAAAACTAGTTCAAGATTTGCTGGAGATCTCTCCATATTTGTAACAAAGCAAAACAATCAAAATAGAAAAGCAGCAAACAAGAAAAACCGAGAAAGCCTATCAACCGGCACAATTACAACACATTCAAATCTTTGCCACCCTAAGAACCATAAAAACCCCATCTCCCCTACCACTCTCCTAGCTGCATCACTGCTTCTAACATAACTCACATACAAACAAGAGGCCTGAAAGACATCGAACATGAAAACGAATTTTCGGCCTAGGCAATGTATTATTTTTCGCAAGGAAAAATTGGAATGACTTCACAGTAGATTTAATACTCTAATGTACCAAGAGATCGGCTACATTTTGGCACCAGGAAACCACCGTTGACAGAAAAAGTACTAAAATGCTAGTTTTGCCGGTAGAATTCTATGCAAAAGGATTTCCTCCGATGGAAGCAACAGGCCCCTGGGCTGGGACATTCCTGCCAAAATAGAAAATAAATTTGAACTTCCCAAAGTATAATATAATTATTCACAGTTACTTGAGTACACAAATTGTAATCAGCATTCATGTCAAGCAACAAAAATCTCTAGCAGGGTAGCTTTTCGAATCAGTAATTCGATACAGATTCTTGGATAACTCGTTTCATATAAATATGAGGTTGCTGACTTGATCTTGGTTTGATACACAAGTAACACAGAATTCCCCAAGCAAAGTTTAAGAACTTTAAACTTGAACCCTCAAGCCAAACGATCCATTGTATGGAGAATTCATGCCTTGAAAAGTGGGAATGAATAATGTATAATAATGATGGACATTGGGGAAACGCAATAATGATGACTGAGAAGTTGGTGCTTGACTGTAACATAATAAAACAACTTACAATAATTGAGAAGTTGGTGCTTGGCCAGACATGTATGCTAAGCCACCTGCAGAAATAAACAAAAAATTCAAGGATCCACTTTAGGATAACCTCAGTCTATTGTCATGATGTTTTTCTAAGGCATCAGTTTTGCTTCTCTTCTTCCATTCTCTTTTCCTTAGTGCATGTCCAATAAGATCCATTGGCAAATGATGAACTTAACAACTACGTTATCTAGTTCCAAGGAGACAACAAGAACTACCTTGTGGTGTAGCTGGGATATATGGAGTCACTGGATTCAGAGGAAACCATGGTTGTGATACAACACCAACAAACGTAGATGGCAACTGAGCATTAGGAAGTGCGGTTTGCAATGAACTCATATCCAAGAACTGCAATATGCCATAAACCAGGTAGAAATTAATTAGAATAATTCAAATATTGCATCTGCCCTTCCCGCAAGTAATGTACTCCAAATCAATGTAAAGCATGGACTATTAAAAAGAAAAAGTGAAACATTATTGATGTCCTCCATAAAAAGGTGGTGGTTGCAAGCATGCTAAAGATGGGCATTTCATCTACTTACAAATTCTCCTTCAAGTTTGAAATTAAGTATATTCGTGTCCATCCAGAATCAAGAAACTTACAAAATCAGTAGGGGAAAGAACTAAAACAACAGGCTGTTTGTTTAGAAAATGCTGTGCAGATACCAAGAAATGATGAAATTGAGCCTAATCATTCAGATTGATGATATGAGATCTTTAATTGTCCACCCTTTAGTTACAGCATAACAACTTAATTCAAATTTAACTCTATACCTAGCACATCATATTTAGATAATAGTAATTTGGATAATGTTAATCTTTAGACAAACCCTGAGAGGTAACATCAAAGCAAATTCCTCAAAACAATTATATGAAAGTACAACCAAACCAAATGGCTTGATTTTCAACATCATCTTGTCTGTTATCCATGAGAGAAAATACAATGATCGTCCCCTTCTCTCCCCCTCACTCTACAAACCTAAACCCCTGACCTTGAAAGCCATTAATTATCCTTGACAGGAAGGCACATAGATTGTTTCATCTCTCTCTCCCTCTGTAGAAAACTTAAACCTTAGGGGCCTCAAAAAAGCGTAAGCTCTCAGCAAGACCAACCAAAACATAAAGTGAAAAAAAATGCCTATAAATACAGATAAAATTACAGGAACTATTCCCTTTGAAAGAAATGGTAAGCAAACTGTAAAGTCCCTCTCCATAAAACCAGGACAAAAAGGTTAGCATCGATAAAAGAGGGACATTTTAACCTCTGCTAAAGATCAACCAATTTTACCGAAATAATAAAGCATAAAGATAAACATGCATGATATACCATATCACTTTGTTCCAATTCAGAATCATAAGGAAGATCAAATGGGTTGGTTGATTTACGATCAGCAGCATTCAACTGTTTCTCTCCCTGAAAAATTAAGGAAGTTCAAGACCTAATGAGATTAAAGAAACGCTCAATAACAATCTATATGATATAAAGAACAAAGGAACCCATATGTAAGTTAAAAGAACAAACCAAAAGTGGATTCACCGATGCAGTATATGATGGTGCTATGCCATCCTCTGATGATAGAATAGCAGCAGGGAAATCAGCATGGGAGGCAGCTGTTTGGATGCCATCGTTTTCAAGTTTCTGCAGGAACAAATATTTTAAACATAAATTGAAGAAAAGTAAATCTTTGGCATCACTAGAAATAAAAAGTAGCAAACCTCTGAAACTCCCAAGCCCAAATGTTGATCAGTGGTGGCCAAATGATCGTACACTACTACCTGTGGTTCCAGAGAAAGTGATTCAGCAGAATCATTAAAAGCTTTCCATGACTGTCCGAAGGCAATCAATCACTTGACCATACATTTGACTGGAGACAAACTTCATATTTCTAACCATAACCATATATAGGCCAAGCAGTGAAAAACATGAATAAATTTATGGTACAAGCATCATTGTTTCTTATTCTTCACAAAACTGCAATGGGCTTAAGAAGAGCACGCATTACAATGTGAAATGATTTACCTGAGTACTGGTTGCAGCAATGGAGGCTTGACCATCATGCAAGCCCTCTTGCCATTGACTAGACATTGCTGAAGGAGCCCCGAGAGCACTAGAATTTTCAAACAATGGCCACTGCAAGGTTGTGTTTATGGACGATGATGGGTCTAACTTCGCTGACAAATCTCCATCACTGGGCATTACAGCAGGTAAAAGATTTTTGGTAACTCGATCAGATGTTGCATGCTGAGGAGTATCAAACTTTGCCCATCCTTCATTTTTAGGCACAGTTAACTCTGGTGATTTTCCATCAAAACCTGCAGCTGGGGGCTGCTCAGCAATTCCAGCAAATAAGTCTATAGATGGAGTAGATGGGGGAGGCTGACATAAATTCCCAGGTGGCATTGAAGATACTGCCACAGGTTGAAATATATCTTTGGATGAAACTGATGAGGTTCCAGGCAACTGAAACAAATCTATAGGTGGAGTGGCACAAAACTCAGGTGCATTAAAGAGATCCAGGCCACCATAATTCACAGGAACAGATGATTGGGCAAAAGTAGATGCTTTATCATGATAGGACCTAGCAGTTTGTTCAGGTGCAGAGACAACATCCAGTCCAATGCCTGAGTTATATGACTTGACAGACATGGAATTGCTATCAAATGACCCAAAACTTCCCATGGATTTAGTTCTCTACATAAAGGAACAATTCTGATGTCAGTTAAGGAAAATGATAAAACAGATAAAAGTAGTTGTAAGATTAAACGTGATAAAGCGTGTAGAACTAAAGCAAACAAAGAAAAAGGGTTCATTTACTTGACAACACTTGCATCGCACACATTTGGCATCACTATGACCATGCCAACTTTTATTAACATACTTTCAATAATTAAAAACATTAAACACCTTAGTAGATTCACATTCCAACAATCATAAAGTTAGCAAAATAAATTACCACTCATAAGAAAGCAGATGGTATCTCTCAAATGTACATATATTTATACGTCTTTATGCATGCAGTGAGCATGCATATGAAGCAACTAACAGTAAACCATGCATACGCAGGCTTGCATTTTGAATAAAATAAATTAAAAGAACAGTAAGCTCTACTGGAATAGTTTTAGACAAGTTAGTAGCGACACAATTTATCATGTGGGTTTGAGCTCGCTTCTTGATGTTAATAATCACTATATGGAAGTATCCTACCACAATACATAGAAGCCTGCACAGTATTATGATACAATGCTTCAAAAAAATCATATACTTCCAGATGTGGCACACAACTTAAAAAGAAGAGTATTTCTCATAAATTAGATGTAAGTGTAAGATATGTTACCTGTGGCCGTGGAATCCCTCCAGCATCTTTCTTGGAACTTGGATCCACAAATAAATGTCGGGTATTTTCACTTAAAACATCTCTTGGAGGTTGAGCAGTTGGGCTGCCAAATCCAATATCCTTCTGAAAATTTGGTGACCCTGTACCAGATTTGAATGGATCACCTCCGCTGGATAAAAAGTAGTCTGAAACTCTAGGAGCAGAACCCTCATTTGCAAACCTGTCCTCAAACATTTGATCACTTGAGTGACCAGGACTGTAGAGAAAACTAGAAACTTTCCCTGCATAATGGCCTCGATCAGAACCAGGCTTCCTAGAAAGCACAGCAGCAGCTTGTTTTCCATAACGCCGATCTTCATACTGATGGTCATAAGGTGGACTTTGAGAATAAGAATGATAAGAACTGGCACGTCTTATCTCATCTTCATGATTTCTAAGGCTCTGTCAAATTCATTTAAGAAAATCAAATTTAAAATGCTACTCTAGGATTTAGTGAGACAAATTCAAATAAAACTGGGAGACAAGGAGATAGAAATTCCCGTATCTAAAAACTGGCCAGTCTGATTTCATTTGCATAAATTTGTTTAATAAACAACAATGTGGGCAGCAGCTCTTAAATGAAAATAGTAATTCAGTTTTCTCTAAAGAAAACAGATAAAACAAATTTCATTTTAGAAAAAACAAAATAAAATAAAACAGAAAATCCAGAATTAGAAGTTCAACTTCGTATGAAATCATCCACAACCATGTTCTCTTCATTTTCTAATTACAAAACATGGTTTTTGGAAACAGAACCAAGCAGCAAAAAGGTTCAGCAAAATTTTGAATTTAGGGAATCGCAACCACTATATATACTAGATAGGAAGAAATTACCTGAATGTCTCTTGGAGGCTTGTCAGGTGTTTTTCCTCCAGCATATTTTCTGTCCACATATACATTCTTTATAAACTCTCGGATTTTGTCAGCATTGCTGTAATAAGAAAGAGTGTTATTAGAAAAGCCCACATCTGTCAAGAACATGCCTAGTACTGAAGTGATAAATAACATATTCAGCACCTGCTGTCAGGCAATCTTTGCCTCTGCAGGTCCCAATCCTTAAGATATATTTCTCTTGCACGCTGAAAACAGTCACACGAAGAACATCTCATCAGCATTATAATAAGCATTCCACTCTTTCCAGAGATAACAAAAAATGTAACACTAGTTCTAACCTGATTACCACCATTCTGAAGAGCTTCAACTTCCTTTGAAGTGAACTTTGACATTGATACGGACTTTACACGATGAGTAAACTCACGACTGCAGTACAAATTAATATAAACACAAATGACCAACCAGGAAAGCACAAAATAGGGGGAAAGATTTGAAAGACTCGATTCTGATGTCATGTCAGTCCACTAGAATCATGCAAAGTAAATACAACTATACAATCATCAACCAAATTGGAAAAAGAAAGATGCAATAACTCCTTTAAGTCAAGGAGCTTAAAATCATCATATTGAGCAACAAGTTACAAAAAATTTAGATTGTGAAAATCATAATGCATTGATAGATAAAGTTATATGCTAACAAATACACAAACTCCACAATAGTGCATTGATAGATAAAGTTATATGATACCAAACACAAAAAACCTCACAAGAGTGACAATTATTTCTATGGCAAAAATCGTAGATGCTGAAATAACTAAAAAGAAATACTGACTGTATCCCACTGCAAGTCATGCAAACGAAAGTCCAAAAATTGGTGCAAACATACTGAGGACCCTGTAACAATAGAACCACAAATTAATATCAAAGAAATAGAGGATGAAAGCAAAAAAAGGAAAAAAATTATCATTAGAAGCTGAAATAAAGCTAATTTAATCCTTTCAAATCATGCTGACAACAGTTTAAGCCTCATTTGAGCAGAAAAAAATTAAAAGAAAAAACGCGATTTGAAATCTATTAGACCCCAGTTGATTATGTAAAGAAACAACAAAGCAAATTTCAATAACCTTTAATTAAAACAGCTGATTTACCATCTTAAAATTCATTACTAAAAGCCGCCTTGCATTTAAGAAATCAAGAAAATCCATTTTCAAAAACCTTTTCCATAGCTTCAATTTCATCTTCTTTTTCTCTTTTTTCACTTTCCCAGCCTCCAAACAGACCTTAACTATCAAAACAATCAGCGTAACTCATTTTTTACAAAAATAAAAATAAAAGAAAACCCAAATTCAAAAACCATTTCTATAACCTCAAATCCCTCTTCTTTCTTCTTTACCTTTAGCTTAAACTAACTCTTCCAAGAGAATTAAAAAAAAAATTTTCAGAAACCATTTCTTTCTCATTTTCCCATACTTTGCCAGCCTCCCTAGCACACTGCAACTATAGAAACCCATAAGACAAAAACTCTTTTTTCGAAAACAAAAAAAAAAAAGAAAAGTTTGAGAAATTTTACCAAGCTGTTACAGTTAATACAACGACGATTAGGAGGCAGCTTCATGAGACCTCTTATTATCTTCTCGTTTCTTTCTTCTTCTTTTCTACTACCCATTTCTCAAAACAAACAATTTTGATCTTCCAAACTCAAAAAAAGCCTCGAACAAACCTAAAAGCTTCAAAATTTATCAAAAACCCACTTGGAATTCAATACTTTCTGCTCAAAATAAGCCTTATTTTAAAGCATACATCAAACAAAAGTAGGAAATTTGGAGAATTTTTTGTTAAAAGAAAAAAGAGGTGGTTTTTTAGTCAGCAGTGACTGCGACAAGAGCCCCCTGTGCCTTTCATTTTTGAACCCAAAAAAAAAAAGGAAATTAAAAAAAAATTGAAAAAAGTGTATGGAGTTATCATAATTTTACAACGTAATATTTGATGGGGAAATAGATATTGGTAGGACAAAATTTTGCTGCTTCCACGAATTCTATATATTGTATGACTCCTTATGATTCAAACTCAATCCCCCATGCAAAATAGTAGCAAGTGGTGACAAAAAAATGTTTCAATCTGACTCAAACTCCAAATATCCAAATCAAAATGTTTTTCATTTCCTTGGTTTTTGATTGGATATATCCTTTAGTTGAAGAACAAAGATTGGATTTTTATTTTTAATAAGAGGGAAGTTAATTCCTAAGGTGATGTTTTAGTAAAATTTGATTGTAATATGACTACAATTTTTGATATTTTATGAAAAATTTTGAAAAAACCTTGCTATTTCAAATTAATTCCATTCAAATAGAGTAATTAATAAATTAAAATTTTAATTCAAAGTTAAAATTTTAACCATCTTAAGTACAAAAAATTGACTTAGTTGAATAATTAAATTATAATAAAAAATGAGAAATTTCACCTTAATATTAATAAATTAAGTTTTGGAGGTGAAGTAAAAAATTTTCTATAAAACTTGCATCCAAAAAAACAATTTTAGAAAAAGGATTGAGAGTAATCTGGAAAGAAGGTGTGGCGGTAGCAATTCTAGTTTATCCTTATTCTGTTAAACGTTGTTTGGAATGGAATGTCACGATGTTTTGAATCCGAGTTAAAGACATTAATCACAAAATACTCGTTGTAACGGTAAAAAGGAGTATATGAATTTCACAAACTACATAATATAATTAAATCTTTGAAAGGCTTCATCTCATAAAAAAAAAATAAAAGGAAATTCCTAAATTTTTATGTTGTTTTGAATAGTTTTTATATTTTTAGAGTTCTTTTAAATGCATGATAAAAAAAAAAAAATTTAGTCAAATGAATCGAAATCATCTCTAAACTAAAATTTAATAATCATTCAAGTTCTTCTTATTTTTTACAATTAATTAAATTTTTAAATATTTATTTTTATTAATTAAATCATTGTAAAAAAATGATTAATTATTTATGTCTAACCAAAGGTTTAATTAAATAATAATTAATGTTTAAAGGTTTGATTGGATTAAAATAAATATTTAAAGATTTAATTTATGGATACAATAAAAAAAATCCTTAATTGGCACTTAAACATCTCACATTCTCTTTTTTTTTTTTTTTCAAATGGTTAAGTGTATAAAGTCATAACAATCTTCCAATCATTTCTATATCCATTTTGCTTGCACGAGCTTCAAATGAATCAAATCCTCTAGTCGATGGCAAATCCATTACAATCTTCCAATTATGACACATCAATCCATGGTTTGTCATTAATTTTTTATTTTATTGGTGTTAGTTGTAAAATTTTTCACCTAAGTCGGTAAAAATAATCTGGTTAGTCAACATTTTTTTTTTTTTGAAGTAAGATTGTTGGCTGAACCTTATTAAAAAAAAAAAAAGAAGTAAAGTGAGATTTATCAAAAGTAATTAAATTGAAAAGATAAAAAAAATTAATTTTCTTTCAATCTTTATTAAATAATAATAGTTTGAAAATAAAATCTTGAATGCGAATCACGCTAGTAAAAAAATAATAAATTTTTAAAATCATTGGAGAATGGATTGATCAAAGCAAATTAAATTTGAAAATACCCCTAATCATTTATAAAAAAACAAAAATAAAGTAAGAATTAAGGCATGCTTCATTCATGAAATTATTGACCTTTGACAATTTAAAATATTTGTTGTCCTCTATTAAAAACAAAATACAGGTCATATTTATTTTTTTTATTTTCATGGGACCATATGACACAATAAAAAAAATGCAATTTGGATTAAGGAGGGCTTGAAGAAAAAAAAATTAAAGAGATAAAACTTGTCCAAAAAATTATTTTGGATTACGGAATAATTGTTGGCTAAAAGCATGAGATAAGATTCAAATTTATCATCAGACTTAAGATGATTAATCAAATTTCTTTTTTATTTTTAACCATTGAAATTTTAACTAACATTGTATTTTATGATTTGATTAAAAATATCAAAAGCTAAAATATTTTACACTATTATTTTCTTACCAAATATTCTTTTATTTATAACATTTTATAATTTATTAATGAAATTAAAAAATACACTGGTAAAATTATATATATTAAAGATAAATATTTTGATTTAATGATAACGAAGACATTCTAAATTTAAATTTTACCGTTTGTGATTTTGGTTGTTTAATTATGTTATAATTTGTTATTTAATTATTTAATAATTATAATTTAATTATAAAATAATAGTTAATTATACAATTAATTATATAAGTATAATAGTTGATTATTAATGTAACAATCTCAAAAAATAAATTATAACTTTGGTTTGGATAAATTTAAAATTTATTTTTAAAAAATTTCAAAATTAATGGGCATGTCAACAAAAATCTTTAAAAAAATTTTATATTTTTTAAAAAAATGTTAAGAACCAAAGAAAGTTACCTTTCACTAAAAAAATTAATAAACATTTTTCGTTATAGTTTGTTTCACAATTTAAATTCTAATATATATTTTACTATTAATTTTAATTTTATTTAAATAATTAATATTATTACTAATGATATTTTTGTATCTCATCAGAATAATATCTAATTGTTATGATAAGGTTTCTGATAGCAGCATAAGTAAATAGCCTTCTAATCGCATCAAGTTATTAGTCATAGAACCTCCCAGAAGTTTCGTTTCTTTTATTTTTCCCTCCATAGATCATCAAACAACCCTACGATCTGCTTGCCAAACCATCATCCAACGGTCCAAATCAAACCCCACCTTCTTCCTCTTCTATTTTTCACCCACCCGTTCTCTCTGCCTCCACCTCTCTCTCCTTAACTCTCCGCGTTCTCAAGATTCTTTCATCTCCCATGGCCACTCTCCTTAAAACGTTGCCGTTTAAATCCCCTCCTCCTCTAACTCCACATGTAACGCTCATTTCCTTAAACTCTTCGAAGCCCTTTCATGTCTGCTTCAAACAAAGACTTCCTCGTACAACCTGTCCCCTCCGCTTCAGCTCCATTCCCTCTCTTCGGTTCGTAAAGTTGGTTCCATTTGCTTCAAATGGAGGTGAAACTCAAACTACTGATACCCAACAAGTTGTTGAAGAACCCCAAATTGAGGTAACTTTAACTTTCTCCCAACATTGGTTTCCATTTTTTCTGAGTTTGAATTTTTTGCCTTGTTTTTATGTTTGATTAAGTTTTGCTTGTAAATTTGAAAAAAAAAATTCATGGGCTTTGGAATTTAAGGGTCAAGTATATTAGAAATGAGCAAAAAGATGGTAACTTGATAGTGTATAGAATTCAGCTATATCAAGGAATTTTCTAATCGAAAATCTTCTGTCTTTTTGTTTTTTTTTTCACACCATGTTCAAGTAGACATAATGATATAGCTTGTAAGTGAATCAAATGTGGGGAGCAATAATTTTTTTGTGGTTGGACAATAAATGTCGCTCACTTTAGCATTTTCCATTTATCATTGACTAATTAGTTTAAGGCATGGAAACTTTTTAATGTATCTTGCACTATCATAGCTTTCTATTCATATGAGTGTAAATTAACAGTGTCGGATATACATACATTTTGTAACTAGGATAGATGTAGCAGGATTGTCAACGGAATCCAATCAAATTGTTTGACAATTCACATGAAGTAACAACTTGTGTTGAGTGAAAGAGGAGAATCTGCAAAGCGTAGTAATGGACTAGGAATTTTTATTGTTAGGCTTTGGAGATGAGGTGGAGCTGAAATTGATAAGAACTTGGTTGAAGAACAGAGTCAGGACTTGAGTTTTGAGTGCATCAGTCTGTGTGAGAATGATTGTAAGGTTGATGAACATGTTGTTACCTGAATTGATGATGGCCAACTTCGTGCTTGGTTTAATTCCATTCATCTTGAAATTGAAACATGGTTAGATAGAAATTTAGAGTCAAATGTGGTGGTTGGCTCCTTTCTGGAGATGAAGGTTACCTGGCTCCTGTGATTTGTGGCACAATGTTATGATTGATATTTTGATACATTTATCACCTGTTTTGAAGTTACCTTTGAATATCTATAAACAATACTTATGATTTTGAGTTCTTTGATGACAAAATTTTTATTCTGTCCCCCATGTATGAGTATCACTATGTTGCAACAATATCTTTATTTCTAGAAAATGTAGGTTGCTATGTTATGAAGGGTTAATTTATCTTGAGTCTTTGGTTTTCTCTCTTTTTCATCATTGTGGATTTCCTTGCTTATTTGTGGTAGGGAGTCTATATACTTTTACCTTATGTCTCAAAAGTTTATGTCTTTGAGAGTACTTTTCATCTGCAGGAACAAAACATAATTAAGGTAACTCAGTTGGAATACTTTTCGCTAAATGAGAGCCAACATTATCCTTATTAACTTACGATTATTGGAAGTGATCTGTAGTGAGGTAGGATAAAAGTGGGTTGTAATCGTTACAATCTCATAGTTGATGTTAATAATCTATCTTCTTGTTTTCAATCATGGCATGAATTTGTCATCACCACAAAAGTTAGGAATTCTGCTGAATACAGTTGTTTTGGTTTTGATTTTAACATTTGGGTAAAATACAAGGATAGTCACCAAACTTTGGGTGAAAACTTGGGTGACTATTTATCAAGATCTTAATCGGATTTAACTGTTTGGGTCATGGATTGCATGGCATAAGGTTAAGACTGCAATGATTGAGGGATTTCCGTATTGATCTATCTTATTGCAATATTTTTCTTTGCATAGCTCTTTTTTATTGCATTGTTAGAGACATTTGTGGCCGCATTTTTCTTCCTGATGGATATATGTAACAGGACTCTTCAGATGGTGCTGTCGCTGTTGAAGAGGATGCTGGTGCAGATGAGATTAGTGATGTTGAAGAAACACCTTCAGCCATTGCATCCTTGCTTCAATCATACAAAGAAGCTTTGGCAAGTAATGATGAGTCAAAAGTTGCTAACATAGAAGCCATTTTAAAATCCATTGAAGATGAGAAAGTTGATCTTGAAAAGAAAATGTCTTCTTTGTTAGAAGAATTGTCAATAGAGAAGGATCGGATTCTCAGGATTAGTGCTGACTTTGACAACTTTCGTAAGAGGACAGAGAGAGAGCGCCTTTCATTGGTAACAAATGCCCAAGGAGAAGTTTTGGAAAATTTATTGTCTGTTTTGGATAACTTTGAGCGAGCTAAAGCCCAAATTAAGGTTGAGACGGAGGGAGAAGAGAGGATAAATAACAGCTATCAGAGCATATATAAGCAGTTTATGGAGATTTTGGGCTCACTTGGTGTTGAACCTGTGGTAACAGTGGGAAATCCCTTTGATCCAATGGTGAGTTTATAGTTATTACTCTCTGCTCTCCAACCTTTTGTAGACATGATAACTTTTACTTTAAGCTTCCTCATAACTCAATGTTGGGACGTTTCATAATTTGTTGCATTGGATTGGATACTTCCAAGTCAAAGTGCACTTTGTTAATTGTGAATGTTCATAGACATTCTAATTTTCTCTTACAATATTGTTGTTCTCTTCATCATTGAGTTCAGGAGGCAGTTTGTTAACTAATTGCGTTTTCAAGATCCCAAATACATGATTGTATTTGATTATTGATGAGAAGAATTTGACCGAATATGAGATAGTTATAGAAGAGAATACAAATTTACTTAAGATATTCAAGTTAAATCTTCAAAAGATACTACATTTGAATTACATGAAAGATATCATTTTGGTTTGTTAATTGGCTTAATGCAGGTGAAGAACCAAGCTGGCTCGATATTCAGTCAAGTACTGGATGAGCTTTCTCAAATATTTAATCAAGTTTGTTCAGGTTTTGTGAAGACCTGAATACACTTTTAATGGAAACCAAGTCTTGATTGATTCGAGCTGACTTAGTGAATTTAAAAGTAATGATACGATGTGTTGATATGAATATTAGATTTTCGTTGTGGCATGACAACTTACTTCTAATTCCTTAGGCTAAAAGAGGTAGGTAGATGATGATGAGAAACTTCATGGGAGCTTCTTTTATATTTCTGTGTTACTCAATGATACTCTTAACAATTTTCTAACAAATTGCTTTTTGTCTCTTGAAAAAGCTGCATGAAGCAATTATGCGCGAGGATTCCACAGAATTTGAAGAAGGTATCATTCTTCAAGAATTTCGCAAGGGGTTCAAGCTGGGAGACAGGCTGTTACGTCCATCAATGGTTAAAGTATCGGCTGGTCCAGGGCCTGCAAAGCCTGAACAAGGAGAGTCATCAGAAGCAGCAGATGCCGGTGATGACACCAGTGAAACTGTTGAGAGCAATGAAACTGCTGAAAACAGTGAAACTACGGAGACCAGTCATGGAGCAGAGTCTTCTTGAAGACTAGATAGAGAACCTGGATTCAGTTTTGTACAAGCAAACACATGGTATTAATATTACCTCCACTGTTAGGACTTAAAATGGCTAATGAGGCAATATCAGTGGACGAGTTAGTTGAGTGGAATGTGCTCTGTATCAGATTTCAGGTATTCTCAAACTGCATAAGATAATGCTTGTACCAGGCTTTATCTATTAGATGTGGTTACCACTGCTCAAGCCCACAGGAAAAGAAAAAAAAAAAAAAAAAGTGACTTGATTTTTGTCGTTCCTTAAATTTAATTGTTCCTAATGAACTTATATTCATTGCTTAAACAATCAACTAAGAATTTGGCCCAAGTGGAATAAACCCAATACGTATCCTAATAAATACTCTGTATTCTTCAAAATGACAACCCATTCTTTCTACATCATTCTTTCCTATTTGGACATCACCCACCAAAACCATTACCTAATATGTGTCCAAAAAAGCAAAAAAAAAAAAAAAAAAAATACCAACTAGCTAGCTGGGGGGCCTCCATCTCTGATCGCGTATTGCGTCTGGTAATTTAATCATATGCTTAACAAAGAATTGTTACTTTTTGTAAAAGGAAAATTGAACATGAGATAAGGCAAGAGGGTATTTATCATATGCCTTATACAGAATGCTTCCTTTTTGTTAAAAAAAAAAAGAACATAAGTTTAATTCAATTAATTTATAAAATTACTTTTAAAAGATAAAATCTAGCATATCTAAGGTTCAAATCCATCTCTTATAACTAAAAGAAGAAGGATTCTAATTGTACAGAACAACCATCAGCAATCATCATCACCATTAATGGATTAGATTAAATTATCATTATTATTCTTTTAAAAATAGGTTAAGTTAAATGATTAATACCTTAGAAATACCTTATGTGGGGGTTCCAGTGGTGAGATATCTTTCTCATTTATGTTTTTATTGATTCATGAATAATAAAAACACATTATAAGTTGGTGATCAATTCTATGATAAATTTTTAATATGATAAATGTATTTTATTCTAAAAAATAAAATATATTTCATTGAAAATGACATGATATTTACATGTGCAATCATGTCATTATCACTTGAGCTCACTGTGAACGTCACGTTTAAAAATTATTTAGATGTTTTGATAACATGATATGCTCAAAGCATGGCACCAAAACAAGTACCAGGTGTTATCATAGCCTATTTAAAACTCTCAAACTCGCTTGCCATTGAAACGAGTGGACCATAGCCTAGTTGCCTCAAAAGTCATCGTTACAGCTGTTTAGAAATTGAACCATTGCCTATTTGGTTGGATGATTGATAATTAACAATGTTTAAAAAAATTTTGTTGGTCTAAATCTCTTTAATTATATGAAGACATGAATCATTAAAGGTTTGCCATTGGACTTGGAATTTTCTAGCAACATGAAAAAGAAGAAAAGGAAATTAATGGACTCTAGCTCTTCACGATCATGGGACTCTTGTCTTATATTTCCTTTTCATTCATTCTCATCCTCAAATGGGGGGTGGATCCCATCAACTATGAAGGTTTTTTGTTTTATTGTTTTTTGTCGGTGCATACAATTATTAAGGTTCTTGATTGAGCAATGTGACCCTGGCACCAACTTCAACATTCTATGCATGCCTTCTGTTGCTGGTTTGTTCTTGATGTGTCAATTTGTTTTGAACTAGCTAGGTTACCTTTTTAAGTTTTATTTTTTTAATTATTCCCCTATTTTTTTCATTGATAGATTTTTTTTTTCATATTATATTTGAAAAAAAAGAAAATTTTTATAGATATTGTTTTACATTATACAAGTAATTAATTTTAATGTAGGTAAGATCTATTTGTGGTTGAGATTTGCCTACATATCTAATATAAATACGTGGAAGTTAAAATTTTTTATAAAAACGAAAATTGTCTTATGTGAATTATGACATGTGAAATATTTTGAGTAAGCATTGCATGTGAAAAGTCTTATCAGCTTTTCCTCACCTAACCCTTTATGCTTTACAATTTCATAAGAAGAAAGGTCAATGATGATCAACTTTCATTTTTATTTTCTCTCTTGCCAAACTTGTAGAAACACAAATTCCCGTGAAAGTAAAAGTAACGAATCTGAATTCGAAAGCTTTGCTGAGAAAAACGAATCAAGGAAGAGAACACATCTCGGCCTGCCTGTGCTAATGAAAGTGATTGACGGAAAATATTTTTTTTTATAAGAAAATATTACCAATATTGAAAATTGAATCAAATGAAATTATATTCAAATTCTTTAAAATAAATTTGTTTTAAGTAAGACATTATGAAAATTTAAACATGATTAGATGCCATAACATGAAAATATTTCAAATAAAATTATAAAAATAACATAAATTAAATTTTTAATAAAAATTATATATAAATTTAATAAATTAAAAAATATATTTTATATTTTTATATTAACATAGATTATAATATATAATTTTTATATAAAACATAATATAAATACATAAATTATTATATTTTATATGACACATTTAAAAATTATTTCGTCTCAAAATTATTATCTCTTTTTTTATTAAATTAACTTAATTTTAACTATTATTTTAATAAAATTAAAAATTTTAAAAATAAGATTTATAAATTCTGAGTTTTAAAATTTTAAAATATATTTTTAAAATTTTAATTTAATATAATATTTAAAAAAAGATAAGGTTGAAGTTGAGTTATTTTGACAAAAAAATAATAAGAATAATTATATTCAGCATCAGCCAATTTGCCCTAGTTGCTTTCATAAAATTGGTCTCAGACAATATCATAAATTTTTTGGTAATTTTTTGTTAAGGTTATTATAATTTGGTTTTAATCGAATTAGTCGATTAAATTTATTTAATTTGATTAATTTATTAATCATTGAATTAATTTCGATTAATTATTGAAAATAATTTTTAAAAAATTTTAATTTTTGATTAATTTGATTCAAAAATTATATTAATTAAAATTTTAATTAAAATATTATAAAAACTTACATATAAAACTAAAAATATAAGAAATTGTTTATCTTATTTCAAGTTATTAAAGTTTTTAACTTAATAATTTAATGTTTAAATATTTTTATTGAATAATTTTATTTAATTTATTTCATATATGAAAAAATAAATTTAAATTTAATATATTTTATTATTTAATTAATTAAAAAATTAATCAAATTAATTGATTTAACTTTTAAAATTAAAAAAATTAATTAAATTGATAAAAATAAAATTAAATAATTAATTTAATTTAATTTTAAATAATTTAATTCAAATTTAATCAAACGGATCTAATAAATACTTTTTCTGGAGAGTTGTGTAATGCCCACTCGTACCACAGCTGTTTCAAAGAGACTCGGTCGACGCCGTGGTACCCTCGGCAACCACTAATTTGTACACATTTATCTGCTACGAGACAAAAAAAATTTATGACTAAAAATTATTTCTTCGAATCTGCTGCTCGTTACACAATTTTCATAGGTCAGATCAGTTTTCTTCTGTCACTCAAACACTGGCGGTTGCCTGGAGGAAAAGCCCCACTCTTCTTTATTTTCCGTCGACCTCTTGGTTTTCGTTTCTTCAGCTTTATGTTTCTAATTATAATAATTTGGAAAATCATGGTTACTAGATGTGAATAGGAAGATACAAAATTGGGTTTTTCTACTGGTTTCCTTGCGTTGCATTTTGTATTTGATTGCTCTAAGATTTCTTCTCCATGTTCGAGTGTGAATTTAAAAAATTTTATTGTTAGTTTATTAATAACAAAATTAATTTTTAATTATTATATTTAATAATTGATACATATTTGTTGTGTTTATTTTATATTAAATATATATAAATATAAAATTATATAATAATTTATATTAATATATAAAATATAAAATTTATTTTTTATTTTTATCAAATTTATATATAATTTTTATTAAAATTTTAAATAATATAATTTTATATTTTTTATAAATATCTTATCTTATCATATTAGGTATAAAATTACCGAATCTAAATTCGGTTTACCTGTAAATTATATGTAAGAGAAATATGACTAGGCAATTTAACTGTCGTTTTCGGTTTGAAAAGTCCACCAAGTATATTTTAGCAATTTATATGGAGAAATTAGAATGTTTCATTTTATCTACCTTATAAAAAAATAATTATACATAAAACTTTAGGGTATTATCGTTATAATAATATTTTTTTATATAAAAAATTTAAAATAAATAAATTATTTAGTCTCTCAAGTAAAAATAAAATATATCATATTTGATTATTAATTTAAGGTTATGTATTCAAAATGATCCCAATAAATAATTATCAACAGAACTTGAATCTAAAATTTTTTTTATAAAAAAAAAAGAATTTTAATGAATTGAGCAAATACTCTTTAGTTATCATTACAATAATATGATAAAAATACTTCCTCTATATTATTTTTTGATTTTTTTAGATAGCTTAAAATTATGTTATATTTGTTTAACACCTAAAATTTTTATTTTTTATATTTTAAAAATATTTTTTATGATTTTTTGCATTAAAAATAAAAAATAATTTTTTAATACTTTAAATTTTAATATTAAATATATTAAAATCAATTTTTTTTTAATTTTATAAAAGTCAATTACATCTAAATAATTTTAGACGAAGGAAATAATTGATAAGTTCTATTTTAGTAAGTTACTTTTATTTTAATTATAATTAATTATGTTCATTCATCACTTTTTTTAATAATGTTATTCAAATTCGCAATTCATGATTAGTGTAGGAAATTTTGACTTAAGTCAAAATAGATTTGGATTAGAATTTGATTGGTATGAGATGTTTTATAATTTGAGTTTACTAAATTAAGAAAACATTATTTCAGGCAAAAATTCTAACTGAAAAATGATTTTCTTAGACAAATGATGTGCTTATAAATATAGGAAAAGATATATTAAAAATAAATATAAAAAAATTCAAAATTTAATCTAATTAATTTATACAATTATTTTAAAAGATAAAAAACTTAAGATTTAAAATTTCATCATTTGTAATTTTTTATATTTAAATTACGATTTTTTTAAATAAATAGAAGCAAGAAATGTAGAGCTTTATCATGTTTGGACTCTAACAGACTTGTTATATATTGTGCATGTGAATGTGATTGTAAGATGATAAATTTTTTCGTATTTGTAAATAAATTCAAAGCAAAATCGAATAAGGTAACCAATACAAAGATAGAAGAAAATTTGTCATCAAATAATGTGCCGTGATTAAATTTTCCATGCAATTAAATATTGACTGTTGCTTCGTTTGATTACTGCATGCTCTATAAAGAATAGGCAAAGCAGCTTGAAAAAGAGAATAGCTTTGGGTACAAACTGGCTGTAAAAGAATGGAAGGAGATATCAACCAGAAGCTGCTAACAGAAGCAGAGAAGACTGAAGTTGGAGAAGTGAAACTTAAAGAAAAGATATGGACAGAGACAAAGAAGATGTGGGTTGTTGCTGGTCCTGCAATTTTCACCAGGTTTTCTACCTTTGGTGTTACTGTAATCAGTCAAGCTTTTGTTGGTCATATTGGTGCTACTGAGCTTGCTGCTTATTCCCTTTCTTTAACTGTCCTTTTGAGGTTCGGCAATGGTGTTCTGGTACGTACATGCTTGATCAGATTGAATTTTTTTTTTTGATCTTTTTAGTTCCTTTTTTCCCTTGTCTTGATTCCGGGGTTTAGTTGCCAGAAATGATTGCTTTTATTTTTCCTCTTCTTGTAAGAAATGATTGGTTTTCGGCCATTTTGTCTCTTTTACTTTTTTCTGAAATGGGATATAATGGTGTTCTTGGTCAGTATCAAATATCAACTTTATTTCAGATGAGCTCTTTGGTTCTGTCTGTGAGAAAGGTTGAAATTTTCTAATTTTTTCTTTTGCTAAAGGGTAGTTGAGAATTCTCTTCTTTTGGCTTGTTTCAGAGGAAGTATCATTCACCAAAGTACATACTAGCCCATTTAAGTGCTCTTCCAATGCGTATTTCAATTTTCAAGGGTAGTCATCTTAGTAAGAGGACATTTTTGGCTTGGCTGTTGTAAGGCCTAGAGGTCTAACTTTTAAATCAATCTGAGATGATCAGTTGTTGGTTCCTTGGCTGATCAAGTTCACATCATATGTTAAGCATCGGTTTGATTTCTATTTAAAATCTTAAGCATCAGCATAAAAACCTTTTTAGTATTATTTAGGTATTGATGAAGGTTTTTATGTTGATCCAGAGCATATCAAATATATCAAAGGCTAATGATGTAGTCCTGGTGAAAGTGAAACCTTTGATATATTTGATATGCTCTGGATTTTGTGTTTCTCTATGATGTGTCTTATAGTTCTCTGAGGTGTTTCATGAGTACTACTTTCTAAAAACTTTTATTTTCTTTGGATATTTGACATGTAATAATATTTTTTATATATCTAATTGATGACTTTTACATTGTTCGAAAATGGCAAATTGGAATTGGGATTAACTTCTTGATGGAAACCTTGTACGAATATTGATGTTTGCAAATTTTTGAATGTCCAGCTGGGTATGGCCAGTGCATTGGAAACTCTATGTGGTCAAGCATTTGGAGCAAAACAATACCATATGCTCGGGATATACCTTCAAAGATCATGGATAGTGTTGTTTCTGACTGCATGCTGTCTTCTTCCTTTATATATCTTCACTACCCCAATTCTGATAGCTTTAGGCCAGGATGAAAAAATAGCAGAAGTGGCAGGATATATTGGTCATTGGTTTATCTTTGTTGTGTTTTCTTTCATCATATCGTTCACCTGCCAAATGTTCCTGCAAGCACAGAGCAAGAATATGATTATTGCATACTTGGCAGCATTCTCTATTGGAATCCATATCTTTCTTTCATGGCTTTTGACTATGAAATTCAAATTTGGGCTCATAGGAGCATTGTCATCTACGGTTTTGGCCTATTGGCTACCAAATATAGGTCAAATTTTGTTTGTTATATGTGGAGGGTGTAAAGACACATGGAAAGGTTTCTCAATGTTAGCTTTCAAGGATCTCTGGCCAGTAGTAAAGCTATCTTTGTCATCTGGTGCAATGCTCTGGTAAGGTTTCAGTCAATTTATGAGTCTCCTAAAAGAATTGGCAGAGAAAGTCTACTTTTTATGGATTAATATGAACTAAAACATTGACAAAGTGGAACAAGTACTGATGTAAAGGCCGAATGTTGAATAGAAGAGGTATCCACATATGTTTTAGGATAGCGAAGTTTTAGGTTAGAATTAATCTCAGCCAAGGCTAGGCTTAAGCCAGTAGGATAGTTTATGGTTTTGCCGCACCATGCATATTAGCTGCATAGGATTTTAGCGGCAAAAGTTGTTAGAATCTTAGCTAATTAGCTTAAAAGTGTAGTGTTGGATAATCTTTGATGGGCACAGTAATCAGTTTCTACAATGCACAATTGTACATTGAATTAAAGTCATCTTAATTGCAGACCTGATGAACTATTGTATTCATTATGTTTAAGTTTAGTAGTTGATGATGGAATCTGATATTTCTGTTAGTAAATCTGGCAAAACTGAAGCATGAACTACCCTGATAGCTTTAAGTTCCCTATTATTTTTCAGACATCATGATCATTACAGAATTACTTTTACTTGGAATAAGTAACTCACAAATTCCCCACCCCCGCTCCCCTCTTTTCTTTTCATTTTTTTTCCCTTTTTTAAAGCTTACATCAGAAGATATTGATTTGAGAATTTTGTTGTCATGGTCAGTCTTGAGCTCTGGTACAACACAATCTTGGTCCTTCTAACTGGAAACTTGAAAAATGCTCAGGTTGCAATTGATGCTCTTGCCATTTGGTAAGTCTTTCTGGCATCCTTTTCCAATTGGCTTCAAAGGTGTCACTTTCTTTTGTTGTTCCCATCCTTATATTGGCTACTGCATTCTACTAATATGTATCTGTCCTTTTCAGCCTGAACATTAATGGATGGGAAATGATGATATCACTCGGTTTCTTGGCTGCAGCAAGGTATTATCAGCTTAGAGCTTGAACAAGACCATGGATTTTGTATTTTGTTCGCTGTGAGTTAAATATTATTTCTTTTCTTCTTAAAAAATTTCCAGTGTTAGGGTGTCAAATGAACTTGGAAGAGGAAGCTCCAAAGCTGCCAAGTTTTCAATTGTGATGACAACTCTTACATCACTTTCCATTGGATTCGTGTTATTTGTGCTATTCTTGTGTCTTAGAGGACGTTTAGCATACATCTTCACCGAAAGCGAACAGGTGGCCAATGCAGTTGCACATTTATCTCCACTATTGGCTTGCTCCATACTTCTAAACAGTGTTCAACCTGTGCTCTCTGGTAAATATCTGTTTGTTTGTTATGTCCTTCTGCGTCCAGCATCTTTGATCATGTTTTGTGTTAACATTTTGTGCCTTAATGACAGTAGATTACATCTAATCGAATATATTCATACATTAAGATCAGGAAATTTATTTTACGCTTAGAAAAATGTGTTACATGATCTACATTTTTCAACAGGAGTTGCTGTTGGTGCTGGATGGCAGAGCACCGTAGCATGGGTTAACATAGCTTCCTATTATCTAATTGGCATTCCAATTGGTGTTGTGCTTGGATACGTTCTCAACATGGAAGTCAAGGTGGTTTTCCTCATCTTTTGCAATTTTCATCTTACGAATTGACTCTGCAAATCTATCATTTAGTAATCTGCATTGCAGATATGCATAAGCCATATTCAAACTTCAGGATTCCTAGACATGAAATCGAAAACTGCTTCTGACAAAAGACTTTTTTTTCCCTCTTCTTCTGCAATTTGTTATTTTCAGGGTGTTTGGATTGGCATGTTGCTAGGAACATTTGTTCAAACTATTGTACTTATTATTATCACCTGGAAAACTGACTGGGATAAACAGGTAATGTGGTTTGAAATGTTCGATTTTGTTGTTTAAAATTTCACATAATATCCAACTTACAGATATTATGTACATTATCTGCAGGTGATTTTAGCTCAGACACGAGTTAATAAGTGGTTAGTACCAGAATCCAGGGAAGAAAACGGCAATACAGAAAATTCTGCCTGAAGCCAGTGACTAAATCACTGGTGGGAATTTGATTAACTAATTTTGAGATTCTTTGGTGTCAACTATGCATACCAAATGAAATAGCTGCTGTTGTTATTTGCATAATCACATCTTTGGCTCTTGGTATAATTTACATGTTGCTGCTTTATGTTTTCTGCAATGTGCAAGGGGTGGATTTGAAAGTGCCATTCAGATGGAAATGCAAAAAATTTTAATAATCTTTTGCAATCATATTTTTAAGTCCAAAGCTTCCCATACATTAGGGAGAGCTTCAAACTGAAGAAAAATTTGGTTATCTTTTGAGAAAGGTGATTAGATATATACTGAAGCAAGAGCAGCAGAGAAACTTGAAATGTACTTTGTGGCCTTAGTGTTGACTTTTGAAACTAGAAAGTATTTGACAATGAGAGATCAAAGATTGTCATAAAGAGTGCTTATTGTTCTACGTTCACAGTGACGAAAAATAAATGTAGATCAAAGTAGCATTGCTCTAAAAGCTTCGTACTTATTCTCATTGTTATGTCAGGGCTTTTCAGCAACTGTTTCACTATATATGTAGTCGTAATTTTTTAGCAGCGAAAATATTGATGAATTATTCGATTTTAAATATAATAAAATGATAGAATAAAAAAATAATATGAAAAAATAAAGTTTAAAATTAAAAAATTTATATATGAATTTAATAAAATTAAAAATATTTTATATTTAATGAATTAATATAAATTATGATATAATAATTTTTATATTTTATATGTATTTAATAAAAAAATAAATAAATACAGATGCACGAATTCAACTAACTTTGTTCTTATTTATATATGTACATCTCTCCGAGTAGATGGATAGATTGAGCTAGGAACATCACACAGGCTTCTCAGTTATTACTCACGAATGATCACAAATAAAGGCGTCGACATTTTGATTAGGAGGCTGTTTAATTTATGGAAGGGTTTGTCTACTATAAATTAAAAGCATAAATTAGGTGTTTGATTCTTAAAGTTTTAAGAGTTTTAATTTATGTGGAAAGCTGATTAGTGTTTTTAAACGAAACTATAAATTAATTTTTTAAAAAAAAAGGTGTAAGTTTCAATAATAAGTACTTAATGAAAATATTTTACTTTTTCATTTTACTCTTTAATAGTAAAGATTATATTACTTTAGATTATTTTTTATTTTATCCATTTTTATTGAATTCATTTGTTTTTATTATAACTAATAAAAATATTTTTCATTTTACTTATTTTTTTCACTTTAAAACTTGTTATTTAATTTAATAAAATTGATTTATTTATTTAAAATATAAAATATAATCAAATAGTTTTTTTTAATATTTTACAATATTTCTGTATTAAGTTTCTAAATGTTATTTTAATTTTATACTCTACTCTAATAGTCTTTATTTATTTATTTATTTATTTTCTTTGGTTTTTTCTTTTTATTTTTTATTAAATAAATTTTGAAAGAAATTAATGAAGGTAAAAATGATAAACCAACCTATATCCTATGGGTATCAATTTGTTTAAAAATTTTGAAATCAACGTTAATGTTTTTTCTTTTTTAAAAATTGAGGTTAGATTAAAAGCAATTTTATAATGTTCTATCCCACTCCATATATATATATATATAATTAATTTAATTTTATATTAATATATATTACATTAAATTAATAAAATTATTATTTAATATCTTAATTTAATAAATTCACGTGACACATATTTAGCTTCCTTTTCTTGTCATTTTATTTGTTTTTTAGTTTTTTACATTTTTTAAATTAAATAAATTTTATAAAAAAAAGGTCAATGAAAGTAAGAATGACAAAACAACCAACACTCAATTGATTTCAACTTATCTCGATTCAATAGATGTAGTCTTTTTAAATTTGAGATTAGGTCAAGGTTTTTTCATTTTGAAAATTAGATCCCAAGTCGAAAAATGGATGTAGGGTGTTCCACTTCATCTCATGTAAATATAAAATATAATAGTTTATTATTTATTTAATTACATATGTATTATATTAATAAAATTATTATTTAATATTTTAATTTAACAAAAATATTATATTTATACATAATTAAGATGTAATTATGTTAAAAAATAATATTTTTATGAACATTAAGTTAAATTAAATTATTAAATTAATTTTTAATTAGATCAAATCGAATGTAGGTTATATATATGTAATGGACCAAGATTGGATACCGATAAATAAAAACTTGATATCAAGTTGAAATTAAAACCGAGTTGAATTATTAAAAAAATCAAGTCAAAATCTGGGTGAACATAAACCTATTTCGACTTGATCTATTGTCATTTTTAAATGAAGGTGTTTATATAGCACCTTCATTATTTTGGATTTTTTTTGCTTAGAATATTTTTTTTAGTTTTAGCTTTTTTTTTTAATCCTCTATTTTAGTATTTTCATTTATATTTGAAAAAATAAATGATCAATTAAAATATTCACTTGGCACTCCTATTTTACTTTTTTTGGTTATTGCCTTTGTTTTTAAGTTTTAATTTTTTCTCTTTTTAAATAAAATAAATTTTGTAATAAATGAGGTCAATAAAAGTAGAGATGACAAAATAAATCATATCTAATGAATTTCAATATGTCATTTCAATAAAATAGTTTTTTAATTAGAATCAGATTGAGGAAGAATAATTTTTTTTTTTGAAAATCAAGGTTAGGTCAAAGACGAGTCTAGGGCATTTTACTTTGTTCCATTTTAAGGTATATATAAGAATATATATTTTATTATATATTTAATTTAATTTATATATTATATTAATAAATTTTTTTAATACATTTATTTAAACTTATTTTTATATAATTAAATATAATTTATATTAAAAAATAATATTTTCATGAATATTATACTCTTAATTACTTTTTGTCAAGTAAAATTGAATACGAGTTATACACACATATATATGTCATGTCGAAATTAGGTTTATAAAATAATAAATTAGTATTAGGTCGAAGTCGGGATGAGTGTAAACCAATTCTACCCGATTTAGTTGCTATCTCTAAGCGAAAGTGTTCACGTGATATTCTAATTTAGCTTTTTTTTTTAAATTTTTTTTTACTTTATTTTTTTTCTTTTTAACTTTCTTTTCGTTATTTTTTAAATTTTTAAAATTTTTTTAACTGTGCTTGAAGAGATAATTTGAAAAAATAAATTTGTATTTGATTTGTTATACAAGTTATAATAATAAAATGCATATATTACCAATAAATTAATTGATAAATATTCACTAATCATTATTTTTATTAAAAATTTATAAACAAAATTATACCTACTGATTTATTAAATTTAATATTATTAACTAAAAAAAATTTAGACCCCCAATAACGTTCGGACATGTGACTAATAATTATAGATAGCAGTAATTGATGACATTTATATTATATATATATATAAGGGAATATGATTAATGTCATTCCTCAATTATATCGTTTTATGATTTAATATTTATAAAAAAAATATATGATTAAAAATTAAAATTTTATTTTGTACATTATTTTATTACCAATAAGTTAATTAGACAAAAAAAGATAATATCATAGCATATTCCATATTTTTATTGATAAGTATTTGTTATATTAATATTTTGATTAATCGTGTTAGTTAATGATATAAAATATTTGACAAAAATAAAATTTAAATACTTAATTAACTTTTTTTATAAATTTTAAATCATTAAAAATAATATAGAACATAAGTAAAATTACATTATTAACCTCCCTATATATAATTAAACGTATTTTAAATTGATTGAGACTCGATTATTTGACTTAAACGACACAAATGATGACATGAAAAAGATTTGTGTGAACGAAAATTATTTGGCCAAACTGACATAAATGATGACATGAAATAGATTTGTTTTCAAATTTTTATATGCCAAGCATGCTTCTGTTTGATTAGAATATTAAAAGGTAGATAAAAAAATATATTATTTTGCTAAGTCTAATCAGAGAATCTAACTGCTTATGATTAATGAAGCAGCAAATAAATTTACCAGCATTTGATTTTGTTGTCGTTTGAATTGCTGAATGTCTCCGTTTCTTGTCAAAAGTTCGTCAAATTAACTAATGATTAATCATTGAATGTCTGTTTTTTATTCAACATTTTTACTGTTGTCTCCGAAATAAGTTGTAGTTTAAAAATAAAAAAAATTGTAAAAATTAAATCTTAAATCTTAAAATTATTAAATATTATATTTTAAAAATAATTATATATACTTACCCAGTTAAATTTTAAATTTTATTCTTTTTCATTTTCCAACTTCACGAGACTATCTCTTTATTTTAATCTTGGAATTCTGGGCAGTAGCGAATTCCAGTCTTGAAGTTCAATCCAAGCTAAAGGCTCTTTCCATGCTAACTGTTTAGGGTTTAAAAGATTAAATTAGAACGTATTAAAATATAACTAATAGATTAAATATACATAATAAAATTTAAATTTAGAATCTTAAAATTTTATAATCTTTATGTATTATTAAATCATGACATGTAGGTTGATTATTCTTTGAATTAATTGATATATTATTACAATTAACATTTAAAATTTATGAGTTTAAGAAAGTTTAAACGTATAATATTTTTTTGAATCAAATATGTAATTAGATAAAAAATTTTAAAGATAGATTAAGAACTTCATAAAAAAAAATCATGGCATGCAAAATAATCTTTTTTAATTTATTATAAAAATGTTTTTCTACTTGCATCACTCACCAATCCAATGTTGACTGAATTTTGGTTGGTGATGAATTTCTGTTCACTTCTTCCTTTTTTTTTTTTTTTTAATTTAAACAATCTTAAATGTTACACCAAAAAAAAAAAAATCTTAAATGTTATGAACTTTGGTAGGGAATTTATTTTAGAATTTTGGTACGAAGACTTTAGTTGTGGGGTATAAATGTTTACTACATTATTAGGAACTTGCAACATTAAATTATATTATAAAAAATTTAAATTTCAATTGCATGGTCACTATTTCTCCAACAAGGTCCTTTTTGTAAGTCAATAAAATAATTGATAATTCATCAATGCTAGAAAAGAACAATCTCAACAAGTGACGTATTCAAGATCTTGTTAAGTATCAATTTATAATATATATAAAAAATTGTCAATAAATTTATTAATTGTTGACTTGACACAATGAAAAATTTTTTGAGGAAGTCTAATTTTTTTTTTGAAAATTTTTTTCTAATATTTTGAATATCCATGAAAAAATTTTAGGAGCGTTTAAAGAATTTTTTTTAAAAAATCTCTTATTTATCAATTTATAGAAGATTGATGAACAACCTAATTCTAAAGTTAGATCTGCCTCTGTTCTCAACCAACTAAACTACCAGTCAACTATTTCACCAGCTTATTTTCTCTACTCCCCACTCAAATGTTGAGAAATAATACCGTATTAATGTATTCAATAAAACAAATTTTCCAATTGGAGAAGGACCAGTTTGAGATTGGGGGCATATTTTTTTCTAATCAAAAAGCATTTCCCAAGTCTGATAAAACAAAAATCCTAGCTAGGTCTGTTGGTAACTTTAGGTACAAAAAACAGTTTAAAGTTCAAAGGCTGGGAAATCCATTTAAGTGCCCATTGAAACCAAGCAAGTCCTGCCAGCCTTAAAAATTAGTTGCCTTAACTCTAATTTTCTCAATTTTATCTCACTTTGCAGAGCTAGGTAGCCATGGATGACAATTTGGAGCAGACGTTTCTTACACATGGAGAAGAAGAAGAAGAAGACAAGACTGATCTAAAAAGAAGAGTTTGGATTGAAACAAAGACAATATGGAGGGTTGCTTTCCCTTCGATGTTGGCTAGGGTTACTTCCTTTGGAATGATTGTTGTGACACAGTCGTTCCTTGGTCACATTGGCAAAGTTGAGCTTGCCACTTATGCTCTCGTTCAAAGCATTTTCGTACGTTTTATCAATGGTATACTGGTAAGTAAACTATCTCTCATGAATCAACTTTACATTCACTGATTTTTCTTGTTAAATAGTACTTAAAATTTTATTTTATTTTTTTCATGTAATCTGAAAGATTGGGATGTCGAGTGCAACTGAAACTTTATGTGGGCAAGCATTTGGAGCAGGACAGCACCATATGATGGGAATATACCTGCAACGATCATGGATTGTTGATGGCCTTACAGCGACGATATTGCTCCCCGTGTTCTTTTTTGCTACACCAATCTTCAAACTACTTGGACAGGAAGATGAGATTGCAGATGCAGCTGGGACAATTTCTCTATGGTTTATTCCCATGCTTTATTATATGGTCTTTGGACTCACCATCCAGATGTACCTCCAAGCTCAGCTCAAAAACTTGATTGTTGGGTGGTTAAGTGCTGCTTCATTTGTTCTTCACTTGTTATTGTCTTGGATCCTGGTTTACAAACTTAACTGGGGGGTTGCTGGGGCAATGGGTTCCTTGAACATATGTAGTTGGGCTATGGTTCTAGGCGAGTTTGTGTACATCTTTGGAGGTTGGTGCCCCAATACATGGGGAGGTTTCTCCAAAGCTGCCTTCTATGACCTATTGCCTGTAGTCAAGCTCTCCATGGCCTCTGGCCTCATGCTTTGGTAATCTTCAATTTCCTGCAGTCATTTACCCCTCCTCTAATAGAAATTTGAAAATTTCTAAAATCCAGTATTCTCTAATCAATTAATCTTTTAAATTAATTTTCTAATTAACAGCTTAGAGTTGTGGTACAATGCCATACTTGTCTTGCTGGCTGGATATATGAAAAATGCAACCATTGCCATTGATGCTTTCTCCATCTGGTAAGTTGAGTTTCTAACCGAAACTAATTAATTTACTTTTCTTTTGCTTTTTATGATCCAATTTACCAAGAGTCTATTTGTATAAGTGGTGGGATTGATTTAGATAAAATTTAAAATAACAATGATAATAAAATTAGTTATTATAACAGTAAAATTGAATACTGTAATGATGGTATTAAAATCAATAGTGAGAAAATGTGTTTTGATACAAATATAATTGTGACGATGAGATTGTATATGATAATCTCCAAATGCGCCCTATGATGCAGTTAGGGACCAAATCGCCTTTGAATTCCATGGTACAGTAGGATGGAATCCAAACGAAGCTTAATAAATTAAATTATCTGCTAATTAAAAATTAATTTATTTTCTGCAGCCTCAATGTCAATGCATGGGAATTCATGATCAGCCTAGGCTTCATGGGTGCATCAATGTAATGTTTTTTCTACATAATTCATAACATTTCTTCCCCTTCCTTTATATCAAATTCCCTTCCCTCAACATATATAATTAACATCTAAATTTTCTTTTTTTAATTTTTGTCTACTTTCAAAATTATTTTTACAGAGTCCGCGTTGCGAATGAATTAGGGAGAGGAAATGCCAAGGCAGTGAAATTTTCAATAAAAACAATTATGAGCACTTCAGTCTGCATTGGAATGGTGTTTTTCATTTTGTGTTTGGTATTTGGGGGTCAAATTTCCTACTTGTTTACCAGTGATGAACAAGTTGCAGAAGCTATCTCAAGTCTCTCAACTCTTCTTGCCATCTCAATCTTGTTCAACAGCATTCAAACAGTACTATCAGGTTTCATTTATATGTTTTTTGAGGGTTTTTCCGGCAAAAGCAACAAGTACTTTGCCATAATGATAAATTGTGGAGAATCTATGGAATTTTTTTTGTTTCTTTTCCCTACTAAAATTAAGCATATATATTGCATGTAATTTTTTTTTCTTTTTTATAAAAGAGGGATTTAATATATATATATATATATATCTATACTTTTGAAATATTGTTTCAGGTATAGCGATTGGAGCTGGTTTTCAAAGTATGGTTGCAATTGTGAACTTGGGATCTTATTATGCAGTAGGATTACCTCTTGGAGCTGTGCTTGGATATGTACTGCATCTTCAAGTTAGGGTAAGAACTATGAAGGAATATATATATATATACACACACACACACACGCACGTGTGTGTGTGTGTTTTCACATATAGTAAATATTTACTCCCTTTATCTTAAAATTAACAACTTTTTTGACCTTTTGAGATTTTTTTTGATATATTCGACATTTTATATAAATTTGTTATTAATTAAATTGACATTATATATATGTATGACATTTTTAGGGTTTATGGATTGGAATGCTCTGTGGAGTGGCATTACAAACATTCATTCTTGCTTTCATAGTGTGGAGAACAGATTGGGATGAGCAGGTAATTAGCAATTACAATGCAAATTCTCATGAAATGAAAGCTTTTTTTTTTTCATTTTAAAATAAGAAGATTGCTCGAAGATAAAAATTTTTACTCAAAACTCATTTTGTACTTATCACTCCTAAACCCAATTGATTCTACTGGCAGAAGAAATCCAATTGGTTCTAAAACGATATGGATTTTTTTTTTTCAGGTTAAAAAAGCATCTGAACGCCTCAGTCGTTGGTTGATAAAATCAGAAGCGGAAAATAATCAAAGCCTACTTCAAGCTTAAAACCAATTAATAAAAATACTTTTAGTTGTGTTTTTAATTGTAGTTAGAATTATGAAATTTCATGTTTGATTTTTATAAAATTTTTAGTTTCGATTTCTAAAATTTTATGCATCGCGGTTGATCATTGATGCCCAATGGTAATGTCCGTTTCTTTTCTTTAGGATTTGTGCATAATCCAAAAAGCAGAAATCCAAGACATCAAAGGCCCAAAATCCAATCAAAACTTACGATTATCTCAAAATTTTGTCCACATCTGTCTAATGGGCGGAGGCTTAGTAACCAAGTGCTAGGATTTACGTTGGGCAGGTTGGATGGATTCGCTGCTATAAATTCTTTTCACTTGCAAGAGATTTTGGATATTACTCAGATTCTAACACAGTGAATTCAGTAGCATTTTATGTGAGTAGTTTAAAATATAATGCATTTTATATTATACAAAAAGATTTAATTATTAATGAATAAAGTTAATTTTTATATTAATTTTATTTATATTTTAAATAATTATATTTGAATAAAAATAATTATTATATGATAAATAGTTATTTGAATATAAATAAATTATTATTTATAAAGATTAGAAGTTTATATTTGTTCATTTATTATAAATAAATATTTTAATATAATCATTTTCACTACTTCTGATTAAAGAGTTTGACGTTTTGTTGTATCATAAAAGCATAATTACCTTTAAAAAAGTGTTCTTTATGGCTTAAAGCCAAAATTCTTTTATATTATTTTTCTTCTCTTATTTATTTTTTCTAATAATTTAAAGATAATTATAAGAAATATATATTTCACATAAGAAAGATACAATGAAAAGAAATTGGCATGATTTGGAGATCAATATTAGAAAAGGCTCAAGGTATCAAAGGATTAATGTTTCTATAGACCAAAATATTAATTTTCATAAAGATCTTCATTAAAAGTATGTATTTTATTTTTTGAATAATTGCTAGTAAAAAGATTGACTAAATGAGATAAACACGTTAAAAGTTAATTTCATTAGTGTGTAAAGTAAAAATACAATATGCAAAATATTGATTACGTTGCATAAGTTTATGCATATACTAAAACTGGCTCTACAATTGAGTTTAATGAATTGTATTATTTATATTTGAAAAATTGATGCTTACAAAGATCGAGATGAGAAATAGCTTAAAAACATAAAAGAAAAAGACATGAATTGATTTATCATCAAAAGAATTGTTACTTGTTATCAAGTAATAAATTAAATTGGGTTATGATAGAATGGTCGATTATTTCATTGTCATGTCTTGGTTATATATAAAACAAGAAAATTATCCCATGGTTTCTATGAAAACAATCGAAAACGGGCAAAAAAATTTACCATAAAAAATTAGATATAAGTGGAGAATATATGTAAAAAATAAGATTTTGCTGCAATGTTAGTTTTATTTTTAAATCATGACACTAAAATTGAGATAATAAGTTAAGTTAAACTATTTGTACAGTTCTATTTTTGTTGGTCATTTATAAAACCAAGGTTGATATTTTTAAAAAAATTTATTATTAATTCAAATTTTGACTAGTGTTCAATTTTCATGAAAACCAACTAAAATTAAATTGATATATATGAATAATTATTATTAAGATATGGTATTTCATGGATTAATTATAAACCAAATAATTGTTATTATCATAAACATGGATAGTGTGACATGTATTTTGCCTACTAAGTGTATTAAACTATAAGTGATTTTATAAAATAAAATTTTATTGTGAACAATTATAAAGTAAAAATTATAAATAGCCATAAAAGAGTTAATTAATGGTTATACAAAAACATTGTTGCTTTTTCGCATATGGGATCTTGATCAAAAGAAAAAACATTTCATTAAAAATATTGAAGTATTTGTTGGTTATTAGCATTGTGAAGAATGCTTATCAATATCAAATTAGCCATGTTTATAAATTAGAAAATAACATACAAATTCAATGTTTTAAAGGCACTAAAACATGTATGTGTTTAATTTCATTTTGTGATAACATAAAGAATATTAGTACAGTTTGCTATATATTACAAAAATAACTGAATGTGATGAAATTTTATTTCTTATACATATAAGAAAGATATGGATTATGGAGATAGAATACCATCATCCAATTAATACATCATTGGTTAAAGACAAAAAAATATATTTTTGTTTCTTACACCCGAAAAAATAACCCTTTGTAGGCTTTTAAAATGAAAAGTGCGCAAGCTTCCGAGGTTTTTAATAGTTTCATGACAATGGTAAGGATGTGGCTGGTTGTACACCATATTAACATATGGGCTTAGATAATAATATTGGTTTGTGAAAGCCGTAAATCTTAAAGTTAACTAATCAATTATTTAACCAATGCAAATTCATTACGAGTTTTTACATGAAATATGAGTGAAACTCATATTATAATTATTGTTTATACTATTTTATGAAAATGATTCTTTGGATTCATGTTTCATGACTTGCCTTCATATGGTGGTTTAAATATGAACATATTGATCACAAAATGATTGTGAAAGTATTTGAAATGGTCTAAATATACTATGGACTCTTATTATACATGAGCATATTGGTCATATGAGTAAAGTTTGAATTTAATTATATATTCAAAAATGTTATGACCAATTAAAAGTGACAAATAATAGAGATATATAGGCTGCATAATGGTGAAAAATTAAAATTCTCATAAAATTTTGAAATTAAGTTTAGAGGTTGCAATAGTCATGAACTTGGAATTGACCATTGGACAATTAATATATGCATTGAAAACTCATGATAACATTTGGGATAGTTGGTTTTTACTAAAAGCCATCACTATAAAATGAGATAGCTTCAATAGCCAAATTTACATGATTTGTAGGTATGATGTGGATTATTATGGTTGGCTTAAAATAGTCATAAGCCAAAATTGATGCCACAATCTTGATCACATTGTCGTAATTTTTTTTTGTTATATATATAGTTTAATTCATGGATTGTACAAATGATTTATCATCTATGATTTTATTAAAAATTTTAAAATATAGTGAAAATTTTAAAATATATTTACTTTGAAAGCCATAAGTGATTCAAAGATCTTGTAAATATGAAAACTTTTATAATAGTAAAAAGAATGCTATTTGATCCATTTGGGTGATGGAAATGGTTTTATTCGTGGTAAAAAAAATTATTAATAGTGTTCATGATGAAATATATTCATATAAATATTTATGAATTGACATAAAAAGTCTTAAAATGAGACTATAAAAGCATGATTATATTCAAAACCTGCTTATTGATGTAAACTCTTATATTGAGTTAAAGTATAGAGGTTTTGAAACTTTTATGAAAAAGAAATATTAAGATATATAATATTTGATAATTATCTTTCATTAAGGATAAATTTGGTGGCCTTATACTTAAAAAAGAAAATCACCAAATAGTAAAAAAATAAATGAAATGGAAACTTAATTAAGTATATATGATATCTTGATAATTGAATAAGACATTCTTTAATAAAAAAATGCATACTTGCATATGGTAGAGGCGATAAAAATAAAAAAAAATAAAAATTATTACCATAGTATTGTAAGATTTTAGTATAATTTTATGAGCAAATTATACAAGTTAATAAGTTTAGTACACTTATTAAAGTAAAATCATAAAAAAGTTCTTAAACAATCTTAAAAGGACTAAAATGATTTGATTTATTAATTAAGTTTATTCAATTATACTAGAAATATGATTGTATTAAAGATGTATAGAAGTATGAAAATAGAATTGTTGAAATTTATAAGTACAGAATTATGGAAACAACCAAAACTAAAATAAACTATTTCTTAAAATGATAAAAATGAGGCAACAATGTTTGAAGCATATAAATGATATACAAAATGAAATGTTTGGATTCGTGATTTGTGCAAAATATAATGTCAGTTTTCTTTTCTTGGGATTTGTGCATAAAATTTAGCCATGGATCCAAAAAGCAGAAATCCAAGACATCAAAGGCCCAAAATCCAATCAAAACTTAAGCTCATCTCAAAATTTTGTCCATATATGTCCAATGGGCAGAGGCTTAGTAACCAAGTGTTAGGAGTTAGGTTGGGCAAGTTGGATGGATTCGCTGCTATAACTTCTTTTGACTTGCAAGAGATTTTGGATGTTACTCATATTCGAATATGGTGAATTCAGTAGCATTTTATGTTGTAGTTTAAAATATGATACATCTAATATTAGATAAAAAATTTTAATTATTAATGAGTAAAGTTAATTTTTGTATTAATTTTATTTATATTTTAAATAATTATTGTATGACAAATGATTATAACTATTTGAATATAAATAGATTATTATTCATAAAGGTTATAATTATACAGAAGGTCATAATCATTTGAATAAAAGTTTAGATCTGTTCATTCATTATAAATAAATCTTTTAATATAACCATTTTCACTACTTCTGATTAGAGAGTTTGAGACTTTGTTATATTTTAAGGCATAATTGCCTTTAAAAAAATGTTCTTCATGCCTTAAAGTCAAAATTCTTTTCTATTATTTTTTTCTCTTATTTATTTTTTAACAATTTAAAGGTAATTACAAAAAATTTATATTTTGCATAAGGAAAATAAAACAAAAAGAAATTGGCATGATTTAGAGATCAAATTAGAAGAGGCTTAAGGGGTCAAAGGACTAATGTTTCCATGGACCAAAATGTTAATTTTTATAAAGATTTTCATTAGAGGTATGTATTTTATTTTTTATATAATTACTAGTAAAAAGATTGATTGCATGAGATAAACACATTAAAAATTAATTTCATTAGTGTGTAAAATCAAAATACAATATGCAAAATATTGATTATATTGCATAAGTTTATACATATATTGAAATTAGCTCCACAATTAGGTTTAATGAATTGTATTATATCTATTTGAAAAATCGATGCTTATAAAGATCGAGATGAAAAATAGCCTAAAAACTTAAAAGAAAAATATATGAATTGATCTACCATCAAAAG